TTTGAGCAGCCTGGTTTGATTCCGTTTCAAGTCTTTTTGGCTACCTATTCTTTAAGCCTTTAGGGAAGTGACTCTGAAGATGTCTCAAAGTATTGCCTGGCTTAGTAGCTGTTTTATCACCTCAATGTCATGCTTCAAACGAGTTCTGAGTTCTGAGCCTTCACTCCCCTTGATTCGATAAAAGACAAATGACCTGTCACTATGATCGGTCATCAATCAGAGGTTTTAAAAAGGAACTAGGCACAAACAATTCCCAGAGGCTACAAAAACTGATGACCAAAAATGTGGAAAACTGTAAGTTGTTAGGAACAAAAATGTATCCAAATCCAAAAGAACCACTGTTATCAAAAGTATTGACGACAAATTACTTTTGGAAAATTCGGTACCTTTGGTGAGTACTGTGGTTGAAATAAATTCATTCAAAGATAAAATGGTAGTCTTAATGTGTAATAAAAGATAAAATCAATAAATTTAACTCCGTGAGGAAAAATACCACTATCCTTTTTAGATAGCGCGCGGTCCTCATAAGTGTGATGCTTACAAAGCCAAGTCTTCTATTTTCTACAGGCTGAATCAGCCGTTTCTATGACGGCGATTACACCTGGCTTGGTGAGGTCCGCCTGTACACCTTGCACCAATCGCTTGTTGAGTAAGTTCTGAGTACTGTGCAACAGACCTTAAGTACAGAATAATGAAAGCTCTCGTTTAATAAGCTTCTGAGTTTCGTATAAGTGGATCCCAGTTTTTGCCAAGTACGTACTTTGATTTACGAAATCAACCGATAATATAAGTTTTATTAAAGTAAAATGACGCTTTATTATGTCCTTGAAGGTATGTCTTGTTTAACTTGTTAAGATATAACAGAGTTGAAATTGCTATGTATGATAGACTAATGCATTCTATTTTCTTTCTATTGCAGGGCGACCAAACATAAACTCTTTAGAGGAAGAAGAGAAAGCCCTATGCACACTAAGCTTACAGGATGACTCATAAGACTACTTTGTAAACTGACTCTTCCCGCTGTACTCTCGCGCACTGCGCTTTTTGATTTTGAAATAAAGAGGCTCATGATTCCCACTGTGTTCTCTCTTGGTGTGAAGTCCTCGTTTAACATTGTATGCTGTGCTGTTTCTCAGATCTGTACTGCTGTTCTCTAACTGCTGATTCCACGTGTTACAACTGGTGATGGAGGTGCTCACTAAAAAACGCGATGAAAACCTGAACGAACCGCCGGTGATTCCAGTCAAGCCAGCAACTGGCTCAGCTCCCCGTCAACCACCACTCCTGGAAAACTCATCAGACTATACAGTGTAGAAGTTCAACGTCACAGCCTATCTTCGTAAAGTTCCAGCTTCGGAACATTTCGATTATCTCGTGTCCTACCTCAGCGATGAAGCTACCAAGGAAGCCATGGCCAACGGGTTTGCGGCGGACAATACTCTCGCTCACAACTGGAAGATCCTCTACGATTGTTTTTCGACGCCGGTGGATCCCCAACAAGCAGCCATCCGATTTTTGTCACGACATCAAACATCCGGCGAGAATCCAATAGATTATTTTAATTCTATGGAGCAGATGGCTGTGCAGGCTTTCCCTTGTCTTGATGCCACTGTAGGAGATGAATTGATTAAGTCTCGGTTCGTGGAAGCGTCAATATCCAGTTCTTTAAAGGAACACTTCCTACTAAACCCTCCAACAGATATAAATGCCTTAAAAAGAACAACATTCCGGTTCATGGCAGCCGAGTATTCAAAATCCAGACACTTAGGACAATCCCTATTGCCTATCGCTAAATACGTTTCTAATTTGTGTAAATGTAGACACATTTGGTGATGTGGCTGTTATTATCTTCAACGTTTATATCAGCGACTAATTCTACTGGAAACGCTGAGTAATCAGTGCCTGAGTTTTAACCTATTACTATAACGTGACGCAAAAATCCGGAAAAAATTGCTCCGTTTAACCAAGTTATCTACCGTTGTGAAAAAATGTTTTTTCCCAAAGGAACTACATCAGGTGATAAGTTGTTAGATAAATCTGTGTGCAAGAATGCTGTGGATAGAGCCACAGGGAATTCTGTTTCTCCTCTATTTAAATATTATTCTCTTTCCAGCCGAAATTAATCGTTTAGAAGTCCTCAGCCGCAACTACATACTGTCACCGTAGGAAGAGGATTCCATGTAAAGTTTGATGGACTGGGTAGTCACATTATGGCAAATCTACAATTGTAGAATAGGCCTATTATACTAGTAGCATAGACGAGTGTACTCACATCTGCCCGGACCACGACCCTACGGTCTAAGTAATTTCCCCAGAATCTTTGTAACACGTGGAATCTGAAGTTAGAGAACAGCAGTACAGATCTGAGAAACAGCACAGCACACAATGTTAAACGAGGACTTCACACCAAGAGAGAACACAGTGGGAATCATGAGCCTCTTTATTTCAAAATCAAAAAGCGCAGTGCGCGAGAGTACAGCGGGAAGAGTCAGTTTACAAAGTAGTCTTATGAGTCATCCTGTAAGCTTAGTGTGCATAGGGCTTTCTCTTCTTCCTCTAAAGAGTTTATGTTTGGTCGCCCTGCAATAGAAAGAAAATAGAATGCATTAGTCTATCATACATAGCAATTTCAACGACGTTACACCGCCCCCTCTCTTAAATAGGCACTGGACGAGATGAATTGATCAAGTCTCGGTTCGTGGAAGGGTCAATATCCAGTTCTTTAAAGGAACACTTCCTACTAAACCCTCCAACAGATATAAATGCCTTAAAAAGAACAACATTCCGGTTCATGGCAGCCGAGCAGCTAAAAAGCCTAATTGACATGCACCAGCCAACGGCGATGGCAGTAATACAACCCACAAAAGCGAGCTGCCCAATGAACCCTCAACACATATCCGACGTTACCCAGTCTTCCCACTGGAGCAACAGTCGAAGACAATTCAGTCCCGCTGAGAAGAAGTGGAGATCAACGAATAGTTATCACGGTCGTCAATCCGAATGCCGTACTGCCGAAGGTTTGGCAAAAATGCAAAGAAAAGTGGCCATAATCGTTCTGGTAACACAAGTAAGCCGCACATTTTCCATTTATCTTCTTATGTTAACCATGTGCGCCCCATCACGATTAAGGGTAGAGTACAGGGTATTGATATCGAAATTTTACTAGACACCGGAGCGTCAGCATCCCTAATTAAGAACGAGCTTTTAGGAAGGCTCAACCATAAAGTCCAACAAACGCGATATCCATCCACATTACTCACAGCGAGCGGAGACCCATTGAAAGTGAATTCTAAGGTATGGTTGAACCTAACGATAGATAGACATCTGTTCCGTCATGGATTTTTAGTTTGTCCGACATTGACTTGGGATATGATACTCGGAGTCGATTTCATGTTAGAACATAAAGCTGGTATATTCATGGACAGCCTGGAAGCGAAATTTGGAGAGACTAGAATACGCCTGCACCATACTGACACGTCATTTAAAGCTATGTCATGTCCCCCTTTCTGATGGTACCTCATAAAACGTAGTGGCAGGCGGTGTATTGGCGAACTGGGCATCCGAGGAAACTGTCATCTTATCTGGTCTTATTTGGTTATAGTGTACAGTTATCACGTCATCCTGGGGTCGTCGCAAGTTACGTAATACGAGCGTAGTGGGGGGTCGGATGAGGACGATTTCAAAGGGGCCTTGCCAGGGTTGGTGGAATTTACTGCAACGTGATAACTGTACACTATAACCAAATAAGACCAGATAGGATGACAGTTTCCTCGGATGCCCAGTTCGCCAATACACCGCCTGCCACTACGTTTTATGAGGTACCATCAGAAAGGGGGACATGACATAGCTTTAAATGACGTGTCAGTATGGTGCAGGCGTATTCTAGTCTCTCCAAATTTCGCTTCCAGGCTGTCCATGAATATACCAGCTTTATGTTCTAACATGAAATCGACTCCGAGTATCATATCCCAAGTCAATGTCGGACAAACTAAAAATCCATGACGGAACAGATGTCTATCTATCGTTAGGTTCAACCATACCTTAGAATTCACTTTCAATGGGTCTCCGCTCGCTGTGAGTAATGTGGATGGATATCGCGTTTGTTGGACTTTATGGTTGAGCCTTCCTAAAAGCTCGTTCTTAATTAGGGATGCTGACGCTCCGGTGTCTAGTAAAATTTCGATATCAATACCCTGTACTCTACCCTTAATCGTGATGGGGCGCACATGGTTAACATAAGAAGATAAATGGAAAATGTGCGGCTTACTTGTGTTACCAGAACGATTATGGCCACTTTTCTTTGCATTTTTGCCAAACCTTCGGCAGTACGGCATTCGGATTGACGACCGTGATAACTATTCGTTGATCTCCACTTCTTCTCAGCGGGACTGAATTGTCTTCGACTGTTGCTCCAGTGGGAAGACTGGGTAACGTCGGATATGTGTTGAGGGTTCATTGGGCAGCTCGCTTTTGTGGGTTGTATTACTGCCATCGCCGTTGGCTGGTGCATGTCAATTAGGCTTTTTAGCTGCTCGGCTGCCATGAACCGGAATGTTGTTCTTTTTAAGGCATTTATATCTGTTGGAGGGTTTAGTAGGAAGTGTTCCTTTAAAGAACTGGATATTGACCCTTCCACGAACCGAGACTTGATCAATTCATCTCGTCCAGTGCCTATTTAAGAGAGGGGGCGGTGTAACGTCGTTGAAATTGCTATGTATGATAGACTAATGCATTCTATTTTCTTTCTATTGCAGGGCGACCAAACATAAACTCTTTAGAGGAAGAAGAGAAAGCCCTATGCACACTAAGCTTACAGGATGACTCATAAGACTACTTTGTAAACTGACTCTTCCCGCTGTACTCTCGCGCACTGCGCTTTTTGATTTTGAAATAAAGAGGCTCATGATTCCCACTGTGTTCTCTCTTGGTGTGAAGTCCTCGTTTAACATTGTGTGCTGTGCTGTTTCTCAGATCTGTACTGCTGTTCTCTAACTGCAGATTCCACGTGTTACAAAGATTCTGGGGAAATTACTTAGACCGTAGGGTCGTGGTCCGGGCAGATGTGAGTACACTTGTCTATGCTACTAGTATAATAGGCCTATTCTACAATTGTAGATTTGCCATAATGTGACTACCCAGTCCATCAAACTTTACATGGAATCCTCTTCCTACGGTGACAGTATGTAGTTGCGGCTGAGGACTTCTAAACGATTAATTTCGGCTGGAAAGAGAATAATATTTAAATAGAGGAGAAACAGAATTCCCTGTGGCTCTATCCACAGCATTCTTGCACACAGATTTATCTAACAACTTATCACCTGATGTAGTTCCTTTGGGAAAAAACATTTTTTCACAACGGTAGATAACTTGGTTAAACGGAGCAATTTTTTCCGGATTTTTGCGTCACGTTATAGTAATAGGTTAAAACTCAGGCACTGATTACTCAGCGTTTCCAGTAGAATTAGTCGCTGATATAAACGTTGAAGATAATAACAGCCACATCACCAAATGTGTCTACATTTACACAAATTAGAAACGTATTTAGCGATAGGCAATAGGGATTGTCCTAAGTGTCTGGATTTTGAATACTAGATGGCTGCATTCAGCCCGAGTTTCTATCAATTTCCTTGATCAGTTGATCTAGTAGGACTAAAATGTCCTTAGGCTTGAAAGACTTTTGTTAACTTTCACTCTTGAGCGTCGTAAAGTGTCTCCAAAATGGAAGGTTTGTGGGGTTTACTAAATAATTATGTTCCTGTCCCGGATGTATGTCTCGTGAGGTTCTTTTGAGTTATTTTTTAATCAAGATGCTCTTCGAGAGCATATTTCCAACACTATTCACATGTATTTTTCGAACATAAGTGAATAATTGAGTGGTGAGGGATTCTCCACTTTTTTGGCACTATAAAAAATAACGCAGAGTCTCAGCTAATTTAAACATCAAAAACTCTTGATATGGGTGAGAATTGTAAGGTTTATCATCAGAAAAATTAAGTATAAGGCACTTCCTCACAGTATTGTTATATTTCTCGTCTTAAAAGTTGTAGGAAAGGTTTGAACAATTTTCCAGGCTGACTTTAAGAGGATTATCACAAGCCATTGTTCTCCACCCCATGTTTTTTAAAACTTTTAAAGTTGAGAGTGTTCAGGCCTGGGTGTCTTGTTACTGGGATGTCCTTACGACTTTTTTGGTGACCGTTTTGTTGATCTTGCGATCAGATGTTTGGGTATAGGTTAACAACAAAAAGCTTATGATTATCACGTAAAGAGATGATGTGCATTATCTTTTGCTAATATTTACACCATTTGGATTGAGGTGTACTAGTTTTGGTCTAGGTTAACTTGAACCGTAAATCTCAGTTCTTCAGTTCGCTTTCATTCATAACGTAAATGCAGCTTAAAGACTCACGTATGCTTATAGTGTTACCTTGTAGAAATGTAAACTTCAATAACTTCACGAATATCAAAGCAAACTGGTCCTTATGAGTTCTCTGCTCGATTGAACGATCGTTATGCATCCATGGTGGTATAAATAATGATAAACCAGATACTTGTTTATGGCGTAACTGACAACTCTAAAAAAGCGACTACAATTTAAGCAGTTTTTAGAACACCAACAAAATTCTCATCAATTAGTTGTTACCATCAAAATATAACTATAGTCTCATTATTTCGACCAGATATTAGCCTAAATATTCATGTATATGACCATATTTACTTAATAAGGAGTATAAAACTAGTTATGCTAATTCATCTGAGTAACTGCAGTTCTAAACATCAATGGGGAAATCCAAACAACCAATACAAATGAATTAAAGTTCATTTCACAAGTCAGTGGGTATTTTAACTCAGTGGCTAAGTGGATGACGCGATGTTGATTAAAGCGAACGATACTTGGTGAACATCAATCCTGGCATATGGCAGATACGTTCATCTGACACCGGATTCTACTACTAGCCACCACCCATTTCTGCTTATAATGGTAGTTGTATTGTATATCATTGAATATATATATATCAGTGAATTTATACTCTTTTGATATGTAGATGATTTCGCATCACAGAGTGTACAACTTCTTTATCTTATGAGTTTTATAGATATTCCAATCTAGTGGTGCGTATATATTTTGATGCCCCTTTGTACCAATGTTTAGATAAATAAAATAGATATATATTAATGTCCCTCTCTGTCATAATAAAACGTAAGACTTATATATTTGTCAAGCCATGTGTTTTGAACCAATGTTGTTCACGGGTTAAGCAGTTTACCATTTTTTTAATATCTATCTGTAGATTAAATTTCTACCAAATAAATGAGCATCAAACCATGTCTACGTTGAGTGAGCAGGTATGTTTATCTTTACTCTATGGTAATGATAATTTGTTTTAGATTTCTATACAAGAAGCTGTTCAAAACGAATTGCAACAAACTGTTTTCTCACAGGTAGCCTAACCTAATTGATTTCCTATTTTAACCACTTATTTTGTAGCCTATATACGAACGTTTTAGTGGCAATATCTTTTTTCCTGTTTCTCGTACAAATGTTTTAATCCAATGTAAAGGTATTCATTATGATTACTTAATTAAACACCTAATTGTTTTGTAGAAAAACTTTTAAAACTGAGTAAAAATTCATCCGAATTAAAAACGGACAAGGACTAATGTATAATTACTGTCCTTTATCAGTCTACTGAAAAGATTAAATAACACAAGAGCATGTTACTTTTCTAAATATGAAAATGAAGCTTTATAATTAAATAAATCATTTGTATGTTTATCTTTCTTATTACTTTCATATATTGTCAATGATAAATAGTGATAAGTTCTTTTCGTAGACTAGACAATTAATAATATCATAATAATAACGAACACTTCTACTTCGATGTTTATTTATCTGCGAAGGACACGTAGAAGTGATGAAGGGCAGGAGATTCGGTTTATCAGGTGCTTACTATTACTACAGGAAATAAACAAAAAAAAATTCTGAAGGCCCTATCAAAACAGAAGGATTAGTATTTTCCAAACTTTCCCTGTATTGAGAGAGAATAGATCAAATGGTCAACTGAGTATATTCAGATCATTGTTAAGTTAACTATTGCTTTAAAAAAATGCTAAATATGAATTCCATATATTTTCTCTACGCAATTATTCCACAACTGAGTGTACATAACTAGTCTTTTTAAACTGAAGTAGTAAAGTGTGTGGGGGGATTTTTGAACCGGTTGAAAATCATAAAGTGGTCTAGTTTACTGACTCTCAGCCATTGATGTTAAGAAATGTAAGCCAATTTAGTTATAAGATTATATAATCTTATAGATGGAGGTAAGATGACATTTAGGTAAAAAAAGACCATATAGTATATATGATCTAATTGGGTCATTTTTTCATCTCGTATCTTCAAAAATTGTTCAGAAGAAGTATTAACAGGTGAAATCCTTAAGTGGATGAAAGTGTTTTAGTGAAATTTAGATGTATAATTGGTCAAGGCAGTGATTATTTAGTGAAATGTAACTTAATGTTGAATTAAATCGATTTGTGTCAGGAAATTTACAACAAGCGATATTTAGTTTAAGCAGCGAAATCCTACCGGAAGCCTCTTCGCGATCCTGCTGGGCAGTGGTAGTAACTTCATGAGATAACTTGGGTATTTGTGGGGGATCGGACTAATCAACCACTTCACATGCTGTAACCCCAGTGGCCGCTATTCAACTTATCAAAAATCGTTTACGACTGCCCTTTGTATATATATATATTGCAAGAGTCTCTACCTGTGTCATTGTGGTATGTAATTGTACCCGAAGAGTACGCATTGGGCTTGATTCGGAAGACTTAGAAAGATAGTCTGCCTTATGACAAAAAAATCGGCTTAACCTAAATGAAAATCAGGCCTGTAAAATAAAAATAATGGGTACCCAACACGAGTAAAAGGAGCGATGATCATCCTCCCACCCATGACGAGTGTGCCTATGTGTATGCCAAGTGATGCATAAGCGGAAACGTGTTAACACACAAGAAATTGCAATTTCATTTAATTGTGTGAGGGCTATGATGCTGCCCGGGTGCCCAAACCGAAGCAGGTGGTTTTTTTAAGGAGCCACACCCGGAGCTTTCGACCTAAAGGTCTGATCCACGAGGCAGTGGAGCATCGTGAGATGCAGTCCCATGGTAGCCGGTGACCGACGATCGGTTCGCTCGCCATTTGTCCCCTAAGGATACTGGAGCCCATGTGCACCATTGGTTTGGAATCAGGGTTTTCCAACTGCCCTAGGTGGACTTTCCGTGTCCGCTAACCCGGTTAAAGCGCCGGACATTCGCTTTTCGTCCTCTCAATTCCGTAAACGACACCCGTGGTGCAAGAAAGCATTGAGTAGGACTTCCCTGGCAGAGGCTGTATACGCGTAGCCGTGTAAGAGCATTTCGAGAGAGGGCAAGTCCTTCCCACTCTCGGCCGTACCAGGGCATTTAGGGGCGGAAAAAGCTTGGAGGCATTGCTGTTGGCAGAGAGAATTCGAACCCAGGACCTACCGTCCTGTGCCCGATCTGTAGACCACTAAGCCAGATTTACTATTATCCATTTACACAAAAGATGTTTTCTTTTTTTATTGATCTACCAAGAACTAGCTGAAAATTTCATTGTTCCTATACTCATAGTTAAATATTTTGTTATTGAACAACTTAATACATATGTTCACTCTTTCTCGTTGTGCATATATTTGTTAATTACATCGCTGATAGGCAGCAACAACAACTGAATATTACTGTAAGGATAGCTCGTTGGCGAACTTAAGAAGCCTGAAAAGAGCCGAAGACATTCCATCCAATCACCACTAGGGAACATTTTAGAATGTCGATGTGTAGCTTCCGTATTGGATGAATAAGAATGCCCCCAATGTGCCTATTGGCTGTTCGAAATGATGATTTACTTTCAGCCAAAAAAACTATAAATACATGAGATTTTTGTACTATATTTTGACACTGTTTGGGGGAAATAAATTCCTACTTACTAGTCTTCTGTTTTCTCTCTTGCGACGTTGCAGGGCTCGATCGTTCAAGTAGTCTTGTAGTACGCGGCATGATAAGAATCAAAGCTCTAGATATAACAATTACATAAATGCATTTAGTATTCTTTATTTGAATCTTCCCATCGATGTGTTAGGACTGTAACTGGTCAGTCTCTAATTGGCATATGTGCATATTGTGCGTATTGCCTCGATATAGCCTTAATTCACAAGCATGGTAAGCAGAGATGGATAGTGGCTAGCAGTGGAATCCAGTTTGACGCGCACCACTTCGTCCTATTTGAGACTCGTCAGCTGGATGTACCTGCATCTCAGATTTATTGATGTTCATTCTGCGACTCGAACCCAGTACCTTTCGCTTCAAACGCTATCGCATTATCCATTCGGCCACTGAGTCGTGATAGCCACTTGCTTGTGCGATGGGGTGAAGTTTAAATTCATAAATGAATATAACTCTTTCAACTATCAAATAATATATCCTTTTATTGTATGTAAATATATATATATATATAAAGATAAATTATACAGAAAGGTGTTTACATGAAGGAAACCCTCTTTACAAAGACTATTCATTCATTTAGTTTCATCAAATGAACATGGATACAAATAATAAAACTATTCCTAAATCATTAAAAATTTGAGAAAAAAAGGTAACCAAAATAATAAAATTATGTATAATATACAAATAAAGAAGAAGAAAAACACCGATCAAAGGTACAGTTTAAATGCATCCACACTCACTCACTCACATACATTGAATTCATAATTGATAGAAGCGTATTGACATAACAATAATAATAAGGGATAGTAATTCTTTGTTTCTAAGGTAACAAAAAAAGAATCCCCATTGATTTCACATTTTATATGAATTAGATAAATAATTTTAAAAAAAATACAAAATTTCTATTCATGAATTATTATAAAGATTGAACAAGGTTAAAAGGTTTTAAAGGAAGAAGAAAATTTGAATAGAGTTTGTATGATTCAATGTTCAATTGTTTTGACTATGAAAAACACCTACCGGATAATTGAAATAATGATGGTTTAAAAAAAAATAGTACTGCCATTTGTAGCATTTTTTTTTATTTTTCGGTTTCAGTGTCTGTTTTGTGTTTAAAACGGAACGAACAAGTGACCAAATACATACACACACATACACAAACCGTTTATGCTGTTGTTGTTACTATCTAGTGGTCAATTTAAACAGTTCTCTTTCTTATTCAAAAGAAGTGAGTGAAAAAACCCCAGTAAAACAAGAGAAAAAAGAATCTTCAACAATTAAGGCTAAGTGAGTGAATTATCGCCTATTCTCAATTTACAATAACCTAATAGATTATATATATATATATATATATATATCCATGATCCCGCACTCGCGAGATTCGAACCCAGGACCTACCAGTCTCGAGCCGGAGCCCTTAACCAATAAGACCACTGAGCTATATATATAACTATACATGTATATAAAACTCGTTAAAAGAACCATTTTTCATGTATATAAAAAAAGAAAAAAAAGAGAAAATTACGTATAAAAACAAACTGTACAAACAAACAAACAAACTGAATATCGAAATACACATAGAAACTCATTGTCAATATGTATAGAAAATTAATAATCCCTATATCATTTTGTATATGGATATAAACAACAATCATTACAATGCTGTAAGGCAAAAAAAATGAATGAAACAAACAAAAAAACAAATCCAAAATTGGTCACAGATAAATAGCAACATCATATATAGAAACAAAAACATGCTTATTTATAGATTTAAAAAAGAGTACCATTTTATTACCTCCTAGAGAGAGAGGGAGAGGGAGGAAGAGAGATCATGTATATAATGCACAAGTTGGTGTATGAAAGTAAAAAAAAAAGGAGTATTCATTTGTATTCAAGCTCCTAGATTAAGCTTCAAAAAAAATCATGGTTTCTATGAAGAAATAATCATTGATGTTAGTAGTTACCATCGATTGTCAAACGAATTACTGCTGAGAAATCATAGATACAGACGCAGAGATGGAGAGAGATCATTACTGTTTATTTATTGTTTCTTTGTACCTGTTTTTTTTTATACAAAAAAACGAATGAAAAAGTGAACAGTCATTACAGTTAATTGGTTACTAAGTAGTAAGTAATAAAAATCATTTTTGTCCAGTCCAGTTTAATGTTAATCGAATTCTTTTGATTAAGCTGCGATACGGTAACTAATGGTCAAAGTGTAGTGAAAAAAAACACCGGTTGGGGACAATAGAATGTATTTAGGCAGAAATTACAGACTATCTCACTAAATTCTGATTACTATACGATGAACAGTTAATTTGCAAAATAACAATCAATTATCTCAATCTTAACTGTTCCTTCTGCAAATATCAATGCTTCTTCTCTGATTTTATTATTCATACATTTTCATACCAATTGCGCTTCATTCCTGTTCGTTCCTTATCGATCTTCTGACAAAATACATTCTATACCTGACCTTCACCCTATACTACTTATATGGATATAAGTAGACCACACCACAAAAGTAACTCCACATCACGTGTACCTCAGTTAGAGGTAGTTGATAAAAAAAACCTGTGTTCTTGTAAATTTGATATAACTAACGCTACTTGATGGATACAAACTCACGTCACTCGGCTCCACAGACTGGAATGTTATTACTGAGCTGTTCAAGATACAACTGATCTTCCGTAGGACTCAAGTTTTTCTATCGACTATCTTTAACCACCTGACAATAAAAATTATTAAGTCAAAATGATAATGCTCATCCGTGATCCCATCTGAGATCGAACCAAGGACCATCGTCACGGTTCGTGGTGAACACTTAACCCTTATGCTATTCAGTTATGATTCAATCGTTTAAAAATCAAGTGCTTTCTACGAGACATAAAGGTTTAATTCCTTATGAGGTCGTGGATACACATCACAGAAGAGCTCCATACTAAGACAAAACAACTATCCAAAATTTTGTGGTCTTCAACGATTCTCTAACTAGAGTCAATCTACGATACAATTCTCAAAATTAAACGGCTAGTTTAGGATGATGCCCTCCTTTCCATAATTAAAATACATATGCATATATGTCTAATCGGTTAAACAAAACAGAAACAAAGAAAAAACAGAGGTTTTTCACACTAGAAAAAAAACTACCTGTTGTTTTGCTAAATCATTTAATAATGGGTTCGGTCTAGCTGATATACGTAATTGAGCTAAATGCATTAAATCACAGCCTTGTTCTGGCAGTGAACTAGCATCCGATTCATCACATGTTCCATCATTACTACGAACATCCATCATGCCAGCAATATCACTAGAACTATGATGTTCCGTAGATTGTTGTTGAATTATCTGATAATTATTATGTTGTAATTGTGTGGTTTGTGATGATGGTAAGAGTTTATTCATAATGACATCATTACTATTACTATTGTTATTATTGAGCATTCGATTTGATAACGATGAAGGACCACAAATATCATCATTACGACGAAAAGCAGACAGACTAAAATCGCTTCCTACATCATCAATATCGGTTAATAGAGGATGTGTACTTCCATTGGAACCTATAATACCGACAACACCATCGTTGGTATTATTCTATTTCAAGTAAAATAAATAGTGGAAAAAAAGTGGGAATCAATCAGTAATCTTTCTCAAAAAGTCAATTAACAATTAGATATTTTGAATAATAGTCAGTAATAATCATTTTAGAGGATGATGCGTTGGCCTAATTTGTAATATAAGCACCTTAGCACAACGACATCAATATAAAAAGAGTCAGGGTAATTGCAGTAGCGATGGTAATGAGAAAAATCGATTAGAGAAGAGGGAATGGTAAGGGTGAACTACAAGGACGATCACGAGCAACTCATTAAACAACTGTAATAAATTTTTGACGTATTCGTGCGATTAGAAAACAGCGAATATGCATTAATGATATAAGACACATTGTTCGACTTTTGCGCGAAATTCATTCATCTGCATTGGCTACAATAGGACATTCTCGTAGTACAGTTGATGTCAGTTTGTGATAAAAACCCTTCCTTCTCTCCTCTACTTCATCATCGGCATACAACCTTACATCCATTCCAACCAACGTCCCCAACCACTGAATCGCGGTTATCAAACTGACCTCAACTAGGAAGTCTGAACCTATATTAACATGAATTAAACCAACGTTGAATGACTTCAAGAACTGTTACCATGTTTTGTTCTGGTCGCCCCTAGCTTTCGTTCAACCACTCCTAATACACTAATTAACACCATCTGTCAAGGCAGGTGGTTGTTGGTTTAACGTAACACATGTCTTGACCAATTCAACTGATGAAGATTTAGAAGTTAACCAATTGATTTGAGATATTTCCCTAGTACCCTATACCTAAATCTAAAAAATCACTTATTCAGTGATCCCAAAATATGCCAGCAACCCTCTACGAAGGCATCTGTGGACAAATACTTGCTACCTATGAATATCATTTAGTTTGACAGGCAATTTTTAATAGTTATAAAGTAGAATAGAGCAAACTGCTGCTCAGTAAACTTATCTTGCGGTTACCAGACGAAGATCTCATCTGCGTCACCAATAACGTAAGTTGGTAAATGTAAAATAAATTTTTTTGAATCCATGCTGAGGTTTTATCACACACCAACCTCACCGAAGTTGGTTAGACTTCTGAGATAAGTGAAGCTCTAAACTATTTCACTCCTTCGTCATTCATTTAGAAGTTGACACAGACACAGTCATGAAGCAAAATTTTGCGATTAGAGAGAGAGAGAGAGAGGGAGAAAAACATTCCAAATACCCACGACAACCAATCCTAGGCAATACTATAACTATATAACTGTTACTCAACATAATAAAAGAACATACCATTTGATCACTAGGATAAATGATTGTCGAATTGTCGTTTATTCTATAATTTTTGTTAATATTATTCGTATGATGATGATGATGATGATGAATTGAATCATTAGTATTCCAAACAGAATATGATGGATTAAAATGTGATAAAGTAGTATGATGTGATGGATTCGATTGAATATAATTCGATGGATTATTATTGATAAATGCAACAGTATATGGATTAAACATACTATTCAAGTGAGTATTATTAACATTACTAATATTAGTAGCAGTGGTAGTAATAGTAGTCGTTGTTGTTGTCGTCATAGTAACATTGAGAGAATTATTATTATTATTATTATTCATTTGTGAATTTGTAAAATGCATCATTTCACTGTCTTCATCTAAACTTAGTTTATCATCTTCATCTAATGTTGTTGTTCTTGAATAACCGAAACGATTGTTCACTTCATTATTGTACAACAGAGAATTAGTAGATACTGGCGGTAATAATAATGGACTACAGCTATCATGTTGATGATATATATGTTGTTGTGCAGGTGTTAATGTTGGTGGTAGTGGTGGTGGTGTTGGTTCAGTTGGTGATAAATACGATTGTGGATAGTAAGATAACAGTGATTGGTTAAAAGATTGATTTTGTTGTAGAGATGTACAATTTAAATGACTATTAGTTTCAGCGTAATCATCTGTAGCAACATCTTCATATGGATGTTGATAGTATAACTCCAAGTTACCTATATATAAATCAATTAATAAATATTAGGATTAATAATAAACAGTAAAATGTGTAATTGGTCTATTGAATATAATGTCTATGTACCTGGTTTTCGATTAGATTATTTATCCCAGAGATAATATGATATTAGCAACTGCTTACCTCAACTAGTCTAAATTTGTACATGGTTCAAACCTGTGACTTCAGATAGACAATTAATAAAAAAAGGAGATGATTAGATAAATATTTTTCCGGTTTTAGGATTCATCATAAATATATCCCCATAACTCGACACATGAGGGGAATGAACTCATGGCCGTCCATCAGGTTTCTAACGGATGATCAATCAATTATAAGTGAACTTGATTATTTTCTATTTGTTGTACTGTGCAATCATCCCATTAAACTACTTATTTATTTAAAATAAATAGAATTTGGACACTAAAAGTTGAGTAACTACAATGAGTTTCATATAACTGTATTCAACCTTCTGAACACATCTCTAAGACCCTGTAGATCAACTATTCCACAGATAGTGCCCAACCTGCTACAGAGGAATATGATCTATCAATTAAACCAATATTCAGAAAACCCTTTCAACTAAACTATAATATTAGTATGGAGATCGTAGTGCGGGATCGTGAATGCGCACTACTGAAGAGTCCTAAACTAGAACGAAACGGCCGTCCAGTGCATCCAGTTTTTCAATGATGGTTTAGCTTAGATTAACCTGTGAATTCAAGTTTGAAAATAAACTATGATAGTCAGCTAACTAATATGATTTACTTCAAGATGTTCCTGAAGTTTTAGTGAAAAGATATAACTGGTGGGGTTTAAACATATTGTCAGTAAAACAGTTTTCAACAATGGCGATGGGTAATCATTGAGCAACATCACAAATTAATTGGCTGGTGACCAATTGATTCTAACAATTAGACATTTTCCGTGATACCTGAAGGTCTTAGGTGTATAATTACTAAGTAGTTCCTTACTACATAATGAATTGCCCCAGAATGCCCTGGTACGGCTGAGAGTGGGGAGAGTTCGCTCTCCCTCTCCAAATGCTCTCAAATGACCACGCGTATATAGCCTCTGACAGGGAAGTCCTACTCACTGCCTTCTCGCACCACGGGTGTTGTTTACGAAATTGAGAGGAAGAAAAGCGAATGTCCGGCGCTTTAAACGGGTTGGTGGACACGTGACTCTTTATATTCTAAATGTTTGTGAGAAACTTCTACTGAACGCTGATCGGATAAAATGTTCCCCAGTGTTTTCTGGGACCTTTTAGGCTCTTTTTCGAGGAATTTTCTAAATTATCTCCCGTCAGAAATCTAGTACATCAGTGCATTAGTTAAATTAATTTTGATACAATAACTTCTTATTATCGGTTTAAAGGAAACTAGCTCACCTTGTATAATATTATGAGTATTATTATTATCTATCATTTGAAGACTTGAGTCATATATAGATCTATTGTTTGTCATATTATTAACACCTCGATGAATGATTTCAGGTGAAGTGAATAACTGTAAAGAGTTAGGCGGCTTATTATTATTATTATTTTGAATTGATAACTTGGCCTGTTGATGCAATAATAAGTTATTTAATTGAGATTGTGAATCTGATGATTGAGCATATGAATGTTTTACAGATGATTTTGATGGTAGATAAAATGGATTATAATGTTGATGCTGCTGATGATGATTAGGATCAGTTTGTAATTTATTCACTAAATTGTGTTGTTCATTTATTTGACGATTTATTATTGATCCAATATTCAAATGAGCATCAACTTCTGGTTCACTATGTTGACCAGTATATTCTTCTATGCATGTATAGATGGATATAAAGTTGAATAGTAAAGTAAGGGAAAATGAGACCAAAAATTAGTAAAAAATGTAAAACTCTTAGTAAAAAATTGAACGGATATGATATTTTATAGAGTTGAGATCATGAGTCAATTGAAGCTAGACAACCATGGAAAACCCGGAAGCACTGGACGGCCGTTTCATCATATTATGGAACTCCTCAGCAGTGCGCATCCACGATTCCGCACTAGTGATATTCGAACCCAGGACCTACCAGTCTCGCGCCAGAGCACTTAACCGATAGACTACTGAGTCCGTATCCAACGGTGTTAAAATTACTCCACAAAACCCCTTCGGATATGACATTTCTTTTACAGAAAACTTATGTTACTTATTAGTGACTAGCTTTTTATTGAACAATCTTCCCCCTTGTATTATCATAGATTAATTGTATACGGACTATTGTTTTACAACTTGATGCATTTTCTATCTATCTGGTCATATTGAACTAGGTCAATTTTGTGCTTATCCATACTGAGTCGACCGCTCTTATTGTTCAGTTTATCACCTTCAACATGATATATTTTTTAACCTAAACTAATTATTGGTTATTATGTAGCTCAGAAGCACAAGATGGACATTTCATCCTAGCATGGGACTCCTCAATAGTGAGCATCCACTACCTCACAACCAGGAATCGGTTCCAGGGCCCTCGGTTCCGCGCGTGAACACCTAACTCTAGACCACTGAACCAGCATCCAAATGTGTTAATGTCTAACTTCAATCAATCCATGATCCTGCACCACTTATCATTCATTGCCTGTGGTGGATAAATATATAAACAATAGTGAATATGAGGTTGAGGAAATTGTTGAGTTTTATTGAAATCATGAGCCGATCATCACCGAGACCGAGGTTCCTGGGTTTGATTCACACGTCCAAGGTAACGGGTGGGCACAAGTGAAGAGTTTTACAGTAAGACGAAATGACTGTCTAGTGTTCTCAGGTTTAAATCGTGGTTTAGCAAACATCACTTCCTGATTTCAACAGTAAAGATATTACAATCTCCACAGTTGCGTTACATTAATGTCGTATAGTCATTTATTATCCATGTACACTTGTATATTAACCTTCGAAGAAACCAAACAGCTGAATGACTTCAAATGACAGCAAGTGCTTTACGGTATTGAATTCAAAACTATGTATAATCTACTTACATATTCGGAATTGATATTCAATAAAATCTATGACCATATTCACAAATTTCATTTACAATGATGTCGGCTTTCAACAGACCAATGCTCTTTTAAAGTACTTTTTCCATTCGACTTGGTCAGTATGATTTGGATACAACATTTGAGAAGAAACTTACATAAGATGCAAAACTGCTTAAATTCAGAATGATATTTCTAAATTGTATCAAATAGACAGGTTTTATGGAGTTTCATGGGAAGATTCTTGAACATCACTAACGACTCATTTTTAGAGGGTGTAATGTTCGTTTCTATTGAAAAACACAATCCATGAACAAAAGAGTTAAATTTATTCAGTGGAGGAAAAGTCTACCATCTATTAGATTTAGATGTATATTTTGTTTTAAAGCTACATATTACTTATGAGTAGTTAAAGCAAATACATACAAAATAAAAAGACTATTTTACGCCAATAGAAAAAGTTAAAAAGGGTTCTGTTAGACCACCACTGAAAACTAGGAAGCACTAGATAGTTTTTTTTAAATCCTAGTCAGGGACTCTCCAATATTCCACATCCACGAATGTGCCAAATGGGATTAGACCCAGGACCTTTGATCTAGTGCTCGAACGCTTAACCTCTAAACCACTAATTCAAACTATGGAAATTACACAATCTCCATGATACGAATAATAATCATGTACCCATTAGTGACTAACCTTAAGATCTAATTCTTGGAGTTCTGGTGAGAAGCCGTGGCCAGTGATGTTTAACTATGCCAGGCGAGATAGTTTTACATGTTAGATGATTGAAGACAGTCACATAATATCGCGAGTTCATTCATATTAGATATGTACACTATAGGATGCTGATTCAGTGGGCTATAGGTTAAGCGTAGGCATTCGAGGCCGAAAGTCCCGGGTTTAAACTTCGCTTATGTGTAGGCAAGACGAAACAGATATTTAATTTTTCCTCTTTCTCGACGGCGACGAAGACAAGATTTAAATAATAAAAAGACACTGGATTAAAACATTTCTCTGGGATTTTATTCATTAATTTTTACTAGGAATCCAAACATATGCAGTCAATTGGGTTAGAATCAGGGAATAAATCCCATATAACTCAATAATTGAATAGTAACTTTCTCCACACTTTTGTGTTGATATGAGATAATTGAATCTATACTATTGCTACTACTTCATAGTTGTCAACTTTTCTCTTTATCTGAAATTAGTTCGTTTTGTTGCCTACTCTGATTTAGTACAAATATATTGTAGTGTCTATTATCATATGGGTTCATATGGGTTATTCTAGCTGCCGGACAGACTGATTTATTTATTCTTCTTGAGTCTCAACATTCACTAGCCGGATACTATCACCAACAGCGTTTTATGGGAGAGGACAAACCAGCTTCCACCTGAAGAGGAAATTAGGAAAAAACGTTGGAAGGGGATAGGACAAACATTAAGGAAATCGCCAATGTGCATCACGAGGCAATCCCTAACTTGGAATACGGAAGGGGAGTGGAAAAGAGGAAGGCCAAAAAACACATTACGTCGGGAAATAGAAGCAGATATGAAAAGGATGAATGTTAACTGGAAAGGATTGCCCAGGACAGATTCGGATGGAGAATGCTGGTGGGCGGCCTATGCTCCTCGACGAGGGGTAACAGGCGTAAGTATGTCTTGAGTCTCAATTTGACCTTGTCAATTATTCATTGTATTCCAAATAAATAAATAAACTTAATAATTAGAAGATTTAAAGAATATGAAACATAGTTAAACAGTACAATTCAATATGTGCATTTCTTCCTAGTTAAAAAATTTGTTAACTTTAATATCAGAAAGGGTTTTGTGGATATTATAGTAATTTTAATAGTTGAGATCATTGCTGAAGAGTTCCACAATAGAACGAAATGGCCATCCAGTACTTCCAAGTTTATTGCCATGGTGGTTTAGATTCAATTGATTCATGATCTCAACCATTAAAATTATGAATAATATTTCATTCAGTGTTTACGTTCATAATTGAACTTAAACTGAATTTACCTGAATTAAATTTCGTTTGATTATTGTTGATCATCATACCGATAGGTTGTTGTTGTTGTTTCATTCCTGATAACTGTGATTGTTGGTATTGTTGTAATGGCATACATATTACATTCGAATGATTACTATTATCACTATTATTATTATTCGTAGTGGTAGTAGTCGTGATGATGGTGTTAGTGGTCGATAAAGATGATGGAGGAAGTGGTGGTGGTGGAGATGATAAATTTGCTAAACCAGTACTTCCACCACTGCTACTAAATCCACCAGCAGATCGTGATGTTTTTGATGAACCTAATGATGAATTAGTCGAATTCGACTGGTGTTTACTATTTATTATGGATAATGATGAGTTAGCCGGTGGAGTTGATAGATTATACAATGGTTGTTGTTGGTTATTTAATGTTACACATAATGGATTGAAATTATTTGATGATGTTGAATGTAATTGATTCATTCTATTTTGTAAAAAAATAGTTGGGTGAGAAGAAGGTGAAGAAAGCATAGGAGGTGATGTAGTTGTTATATGTTTCGATTGGTTATTTCCAAGACTACTAATACTTTTATCAGTAGTAGTAGTAGTCGTTGTTGTTGTTGTGTGAATTGAATTTTGACATTCTTCACAACCTGATTCATTACATTCAATTTCTTCCCATTCACCTTCAGAATCTAAATAAGATTTACGATTTTCATTATGAATCGTGTTATTATTGTTATTATTATTCTTCGCTGACTCAGAATTAGCACCTTCAAAGTAAGAATACAAAACAATAAATATAGGAGTGTAAATACACCCATTCACACACACAAAAAAATCATGTAAGTATAATGAAAAAAAAGGATTCGTAGAGATTGGAAAATCTCATGGTCTATACTGCGGAGCGACCTTAGTTAGATAATTATACAAAACCATGAATTACTGGACACAGCTGTTTCGTACTAGTAGGGGAATTCTCAGGACTGTACATTGAGTGGTTCACTCGAGGATGAGGTTCAAACTTAGGATATTTAGATCTCCTGTCGGGCGCATAACATTTTGACAATTGAGTTGGGATACGATGGTTTACATCTCAACTCAGAGGTATAAAGGCTAAGCAATCACTGTGAACACGGTTGATAATGTTAGTACTTCTACTAATCTTGAATTCGTTTGACTAATTTCATCTCTGAGTTAAAGTGATGTGGCAACTTGGACCGATAAAACTTGATATTCTTTAGTTCGATCTTCTTAGGAAGAGTCATAGATGCGTAATGCTCAGGAGTCCCGTGCTAATAAGAAGCAGTTGTTCAATGTGTCCTGGTTTTCAGTGGTTATGTAACCAAGTTAAGTTCATGATCTGAACTATCCGAGATAGTAATACTACTAGTAATGCTAACAAAAGTAACAAATGATTCATTTCAATAATATAAGGTATTGTGAATAATTTTCAGCGCAAGATTAATCACAAAATGTACATAATATAACATTCTGTGTATACTTACTTACTAAGTACACGCATATGTATTTACTTTTGAGCCATACCGTTTATGCATGATAATTAGTAATAACAACCAGCTGCTGATCGAACTGAAGTGTTTTTTTTCGGGGGTGATGAGTTTTAAAATGTTATCTAATAGTTGAAAGATGAATGTGTTTCAACTATAAGTCGACTGTTATTGAAGTATTAAATATAATTGTGAAATATCAGTAAAGGAATGTGGAGACTGAGTTTTTAATTAAGATCATGAACTGATCAATGTTAGACCACAATTGAAAACCTGGAAGCACTGTGCAACCCTTTCGTCCTAGTATAGGACACTTTAGCAGTGCGCATCTACAATCCCTCACTCGAGACTCGAACCCAGTACTCTAGGTTTCGCGCGCGTACGTTTAGCCTCTAGAGCACTGGATTCGTTGAAGTTAGATAATAACACCATTGGATGCTGGCTGTTATTCAAGCATTGATTATAACTGTAAAATAAAATAACTGTTTGATTGGTATAGATTGAAGTATACAGTAACGTCAATTTTGTGAGATAACCATTTTTTAATCAGTTACCAAACTTTGGATAAATATCTACAAATATGGTAGAAGTAGATTTAGAGTTGAAGTGAGCAGTTAAATCAGAGTATAGACATATGATAAATCAATTGTAGGTAACTTACCGGTTTTAGACGATATTGTAAGACCAGCTACTTTCAATAAACTCAACTCATCAGTTTGCTGGCCTACATTACATAATATTGTTGGAGCGGGTGGTAAAGGACTACTTCTTCGCGAACCGGAAGTTGTACAATCTTCATCCGTTATACTTCGTGTTCTTGAACGTCGACGATGATAAGAAACTGTCGTTAGCCCAGAAGATGATGAAGATGCTTCGGAAATTCCAGAATGACAATTATTAGTTGTACTAGAAGACGATCCTAATGATTCACCGGTAAGATTAATGGTTCCAGAGATTTCTTGATTAGATTCACCATGACGTTTATGATGTCCATGGTGTTTACGATATCGACAATGGCGACGATGATGTTTACGACTGTGTCGATGAGAACTCCGTTGGTCCTATAACATGAAAGATATATAGCAAATAAATAATCTTAATTGTCTTATCTATATATTTTATGACTGTTTTAAGTAATGGTTCTAAAAATTTAGTGTGGAATGTCTATAGATACTAATTCTCATGTTCCTTTTATTTTCATAGATACGTTATTGATCGTTCATAAATCGAAAATTTATTTTATTGAAACACATAAACAATGTTACAAGGAGGTACCAAATATATGTGTCAGAATTAATCATTCGATTTGTGTGAGGGCTGGAATATTACTCGAGTGCCCGAACCAAAGGAGGTGGTCTTCTTAAGAGGTCACTCTCCGATCTTTGACTTAATCCACAAAGCAGTGGAGCAAAGGTAGGTGATGCGGTCCCATGGTAACTGATGACGACCAATAGGTTCATACGCCAGTTTGTTTCCTTAAAATCCCGGAGTCAATGTAACCATTGATTTAGAATCAGGGTTTTTCAACTCTCCTAGGTGGATCCTCCTTATCCACCGACCGCGTTAAAGCATCGGACATTCGCCCTTTGTTCTCTCAACTTCGTAAACAACCCCACCGCTAGAAGGCAGAGAGTAGGACTCCCCTGGCAGTGGCTGTATATGCGTGCTTATTTCGAGAAGGAGAACAGACTCTTCCCACCCTCAGCCGTACTGGGGCATTTGTGGGTTGGTTAGAAAAACTAAGCCTTATATATAGTGATGATTTGAATTTCACTGATTGAGAAATAATCTTCTCAATGTATATTTTACATAAACAGTCCTCAACATTTCATAATTTTCCCATGGAGTTAATTACACTTATAGGTAATCTTCGTAGTTCAGCTGGTGTATTTGTTGGACAGACCATGTACTTAAATCTTTTCACATAAACAGCAGAGTATTAATTGATTGAAATCACATTGTCAATATCAGTATTACCATAGAAAATAACCGTAAGATTAATATATAATGGGGGGGAAGAAGTTGATTCAACAATGGAACCCTTCTAGATTATTTAAAGTCAGCCCTGAGATTTGAAAGATCTTCATTTAGAAGAGTTATAACGCCTTGTGATGAAAGCCGAGATTCGCCGGAAGTCAAAAGGTCGATACCTATCTTGACAACCAGAGGGAAAATCAACATGAGCATATGGAAGATCTTTGAGTTTTATAGTTTACATCATGAAATGAATTTAGTTAGACAGCCACTGAAGATCAGTAAGCACTAGACAATAGTATGTGTTCATTAGTAACTGACTGCAACAGTTAACCCCCTTAATTCTAATGAGAAGCAATGACTAGTGGGAAGTTCAATCCTATTTAGCTGGTTACTCATCCATAGCAATAAAAGATTGCTGCGAAATATCATGGATTAAATGAAGTTGGAGTCGTAAACTACAACTGAAACTAAAAGATATATATATATATATTCAGTTTCATGTTGGTCATATTTTGATTAGAGATCAGAGGGGGTTTTGTGGTGAATTTAGTATTTTCACAGTTGAAATCATGAGTCAATTGAAGCTAGACCACCATCGAAAACCTGGAAGCACTGGACGGCCGTTTCGTCCTATTATGGGACTCCTCAGCAGTGCGCATCCACGAACCCGCTCTCGCGAGCGAGATTCGAACCTAGGATCTACCAGTCTCGAGCCGAAGCCCTTAACCAATAGACCACTGAGCTGGCATCCAACGGTGTTAATGTCTAACTTCAACCAATCCACGATATTGAGCGACCGTTCACCAATTGTCTTCAGTGAGATGATATCTCTACAACAGACCTGGTAGAACTCCACTGGCCACTGCTTCCCACTAGAACTCAAGGAAATATCTCTTGAAGTCAGTCACTAGTGAGCATATGATTATAGATCAGAGGGGGTTTTGTGGAGAATTTAGTATTTTCACAGCTGAAATCATGAGTCAATTGAAGCTAGACCACCATCGAAAACCTGGAAGCACTGGACGGCCGTTTCGTTCTAATTAGGGACTCCTTAGATGTATACATCCACGACCCTGCATACAGGAGTCGAACCCAAAACCAGACAGCCATCCACGGATTGCAATGGTTGACTGAATTCAAGAGATATTTCCTTGAGTTCTAGTGGGAAGCAGTGGCCAGTGGAGTTCTACCAGGTCTGTTGTAGAGATATTTTGATTAATCATGGTCTGTTCGTATGTACATATGTATGCACACATGCCCAACCACCGCCTACTTCAACGGGTGATGTTTTCTGGTGTATGAGTAGACTGGAATAAAGCTAGGGGTGGTCAAATCAAAATTTGTCATCAGTCCATGAAGTCAGATGACAATAAGACTGTTAATAGGTATAGACTACCAATTTTTAAAAACTTTAAATGACATAGCTCAAAATTATTCGCACAAGCTCAGGTGAATCTGTTCTTTATCATTCTCTGAATTATAAGTAGTATTCTTCGATGAATAATCTTTTCAATATATCACCTCTGATACTGTTATTTTATTTTATTTAAGCACATATATGTTGGTACAAGGAAGCACCAGATAAATATGCGCCTCACAAATCTCATTTGATTTGTGTGAGGGCTGAGATACTGTCCACGTGCCCAAACTGAAACAGGTGGTTTTCTTAGGGGACTACACCCCGAGCCTTTGGCCTACAGGTCTGATCCACAAGGCAGTGGAGCATCGTGAGGAGATGCAGTCCCATGGTAGCCAGTGACCAACGATTGATTCATACACCGTTTGTTCCCTGAGGATACTGGAGCTTATATGCACCATTGGTTTGAAATCAGGGTTTTCAAACTCCCCTAGGTGGACTCGCCGTGTCCACCAACCCGGTTAAAGCGCTGGACATTCACTTTTCGTCCTCTCAATTTCGTAAACAACAGTAGTGCTACGAGAAGGCAGTGAGTAGGACTTCTCTGGCAGATGCTGTTTACGAGTGGCTATGAGAGCATTTGGAGAGGGAGAGCTGACTCTCCCCACTCTCGGCCGGAATTCAGTCAGATTATTTCATCTCACTATGCTAACGGATTACGGTAAGTTGGATCGGAGTACATACGTACCAGGTTCTATATTGTGACTAACTAACTAACTGAATCTGTTCATTATCTCAATCTAATTATTTATATTAATTAAGGAAAAACAAACAAACAAACCTCTCTTTCAATTGTAATAGAATCGGTTCCAATATTATTATCATTATTAATGCATTGAATAGTTTGATTATTCTCAGAACAATTTTTTTTAGATTGTTGATTTAAACGATTCGATTTATTATTTATAATATCAAGTCGTTTTGAACGATTATGATCTGGTGTTGTAGGATCAACATTTTGTTGATGTTGTTGTGAATTATTACATTTGATTACATTAACTTCTAAAGCAGTTGAACAAGTACTTGTAGTAGACGAAGTAAATGATGAACTCAAACTTTGTACATCATCATCATCATCATTATTATTATTATCATGATCTTTATGACAATGAGAATTAGAATGTGAATGATGATGACGAAGTTGATGATGATGACAATGAGGATTTAAATCAGTAAATGATGATGATGTAGAAGATGATGATGAAGATGAAGATGTAGCTAGTGTTCCACATAATGAAGATGATGATGACGATGATGATGAATGACTTGATAAAAATTCTAAACCATGACTTGATATAGATGAACTACCACTTGGGCTTCTATCATCATTACCATTAATATCATTTAACACTGAACAAAATTCTAAGTGTGAACTTCCATCATTTACACTGTTTGAACGATTAGTTACTGTATTATTACCCTGTCGAGATAATCTCCGACTATGATTACGACTATGATGTTTTCTCAACTTTTTCTCATTTTCATGTAAATGACAAGAACAATCAGAGAATGAATCATTTCTTTTCATGATACCGGCATCATTATTATCCATAGTGTTAGTACTAGTATGATGATGATGACGTGATGATTTTGAATGTTTATGCCCGGATCGATGATGACTACCAGTTGCTGTCGATGATGATGGTGATCTATGACGATGATGATGTTTTTTATGATTAATTGATGATGAAGATCTTCTATGATGTCGACGATTAGTGGCAGTGTTGATCGATGAAGAATTATTTACATTGTAACTGCCGCCTTCATTTTTATTCTTTAAAATACCTTTCTCTGGTTGACGCCACGAATTCTCCATTATGATGTTAAACTGTGTCTATGAGATAACAATAACAAATGAATAAATAAACAGTCGTAATCCATAATGTAGATTCAAAATGAAAATTATACTGAGAACAAGTAAAATTTTAACATTACAACTACTTAGGTTGGATACAGTAGTTTAGTATTATAAATCACTTATCAAATACAGGTTTTTATGGTCAAATTGAAGCCATATATCGTTGATACTAACCGACTCACGATTGTAGCTTCTGCCTTGATATAATGTTTTGATTTCAATATTGCAATGACCCAACATAGCTATATTGGTTGGAACTGAACTCAAACCATTGTCTCTTATGCTCTGTGGTCACGCTCGAAAATAAACAGTTTCCTTTTCAGATACCTTGAGGAGAAACATTTTACGATGTGGGGAACCAAGGAGTGGCTACCACCCTTGCACTTATAAAAGCACTCTATATTACCTTGTCACTGATATCAAATTGCACCATCAAAGAATAACTAACTTTCAAAGATAGAGTAGCTGAAGTGGGTAGGATTCGAACTTAAAAGCCAGCGTTTGAAAATAAAGTCTTTTAACTGCTAAATCATCGCTGCATCTTGTAACACTAAGTGATTAAAGTTAACTATAATTTAATTGATGTTGAGAATGGTAATAATTTATAGAGAAATTAAACAACTGATTTGAAAGTTAATACATTAAACATCATAATGATAAAGTTAAGTATTGTTTGCACTCAAAGACTTTACAATGATTATCCATTCATCAAAAAAGCTCAAATATAAAATTTTTTGAAATCATGAATCGATTTAAGTTAGACCACCATTGAAAACTTTTAAGCACTGAACAGCCGCTTCGTTCTAATTAGGGACTCCTTAGATGTATACATCCACGACCCTGCATACAGGAGTCGAACCCAAAACCAGACAGCCATCCACGGATTGCAATGGTTATCTAATTTAGATCGATCCATGATTTCAATGAAAGTTAACAATTTTCATAACTCCTTACTGTCAAATGTAATATCTCATTAATGCGACTAAGAGTTGAATTATCAACTTCATAATTATGATAATTGATAATAGCATCCTAGTTCACATATTTATTGAACAGACCATACACTATCGGGATGGTGGTAATGTTGATCATTAAGAAAAATAAAACATAAGTGTATTTCTTATACTTACATCATTCATTACATCCTTCGAAGTATCTACCGGAGAAACTGTTGTTGAACAAGTATCAATTAACATTTCATTATTACTAGACGACATAACATCTAATGTTCCACTAGATATGACTGTCGTTGATATTGTTGTAGTTACTTCTGCTGGTGTGGGGTTTGCAGCAGCCGCCGCCGCCACCGCAGCAGCAGCATTAGCTCCAGCTCGACCTGCACCAACCAATGCAGCTGTTGTCACATTATGTAATAATAATGAATTTTGATTGGAATTAGCCAATGTAGTTTGAGTAGTTAAATCATCAGTTGGTAAATAATTCATAGGTGAAACCGATTTCGAGTATGCAGTTGAATAAAATGGAAATAACGGAGGTACAGTAGATGATGATAATGATACTAATGATGTAATAGCAGTTATTAATGGTGATGTTACACTAACTGATCCACAACATACTGTAGATTTTTGATGAATACTTTGTTTATTACCACCACCATTAGGTTCAATAAGTGAAGATGTATATGTACCACAAATTGGTACATTTAAATTAGCTTGATTTTTTAAATCAGAATTTGGTAAGTTAACAGTTATATCTGTTGAATCTGTTAGATAAACAGTATTTTCACTTGTACTCATTGATTGTCCATTTTTTAATGATTTAAAAGGTGGAAGTGTATCAGCTGTACGTTTCAATTGTTTTATTTTATCTTCTCTGAAACAAAAAATTAACACACCAATTTTAGAAGGAAGAGAAAAGAAAAATAAGAAATGAATTTCATTGAGTCGGCATCCAACGGTGTTAATGTCTAACTTCAACTAATCCACGATGTTAGAGCAACTGTTCACCATTGTCTTTAATAAGTTGATATCTCACAACAGACCTGGTTGAACTACATTGGTTACTACTTCTCACTAGAACTCTAGGAAATATTTCTTGAAGTCAGTCACTAGTGAGTATTAGTGGTTAACTTCCAGATGGGAAAAAAATCCAATTCTAAATGTTTTAGGATAGGAAGTAATGGTTTATGTGAAGCCAATAATGTCGAGAGGGCGTCGAGAATGAGACAATTATCCTTTGAGTTAAACGGGTTTTTTTTCTGTTAACCAAGACGGTTCTGGTGATATTTTATTCGGTAAATTATGGAAACATTTCAAATAAAAGAGTAGAGAGGAAATCTTTTTGTGAATAATCAATCAGTCAGTCATAAGCAATGTAGAAACTGGTATAATTGTGTTTCAGTTCAAGTTGTTACATCATATCAGCACAACTTCAATAATCATCCAACGCTTAACTTGAGTTCATGAATGGCAACCCATAAAAAATCGGTCTGATTTCAAATTTGAACATATGTGTATTGACTAAATATTCACTCTTCGTTAGGTTTGAAACAAATGCGACGTCCGATTAGTGTCAGTTCTTGGATTGAAGGCAAGACATCGTTAGTAGTTCTCTGACGTCACAGATTGTGATGAAGTCATATTCAAACTACGTGTAACTTTAAAAAAGTTCATTGAATTAAGAGAGAAGTCTAACGTAATTAACAATTTAATATTAACGTGGTACACCTCCACACAAAAATGGATGAATTGATGAATGCACTCTTAGCACAATGTATCGATCCCAGTTAGATATTCGACACTTAATCTTACTTATGACAGATTCAACAGATATAAACCTATGAATTCTTTCAGTTAAAGAATTTAAACGACTATAGACATGCAACTGTGTTTAACTTAAATTGCTATTTCGGTCTCTAGTGATCCAGACATCTAACATTCTATTACAAATATTTCGATTCATGTAATTCATAAGCAGTATCGAATGAGGCGGTAATGATAATGTCAAAGATTGAGTGAAGAGTTATGTATAGAGGAACGCTGAAAGTCTAGATATAAATTAAGATAAAGAGTGAATGTATCTAAGCCAAGTAACCCAACATCTTCAATCACTACTCATCACAGTTATCACGTGCACCTCAACCATGTAGTCTGCAATATCTACCATAAGACCAACAGTTAATCGTTTCATGAACTCATATAACGTTTTAGTTTGTCTGGGCTGAGTGATTTTTACGAACTCATACGTCAGCTAACACCACCTCTATCACGTGAGACAGTAGTTGGCAATATTTAACGAGTATAAATAGCCAAAAAAAGCCAGTAAACATAGTTCACAGATTTGATGATTACTAGTATAGCGTAGCGGAAATAGTAGAACTCTAGTGAAACTACAAACCAATCTAAATTAGGCAATCACTAAAAATCTGAAAACATTGTATGACTGTTTCATCCTAGTATGAGACTCTACAACCCTGTCATACAGTACCGAATCCATAACCTTTGGTCTTGCACACGAACGCTTAACCTTTAAACCACTGAGATGAAATCCAATTATGTACAAGTCTAACTTCAATCAATCTATGACACTGAATGATCATCTGCCCTTGTCTTCAGTGGATAACTTCTTGACATTCGACACAATTAAACTCCAATGGTCACGGTTTCTTGCTAGAACTCCAAGGAACTTCCTCTCGAAGTTAGTCACTAGTGGGTGCACATATGATCATTACCAGTATAAGTTTATGGAGGTAGTTGAATTTGAGAGTGATCACCCTTTAGAAAAAAACGAATAATACTATCAGAATACATTTGGACAAAAAAGAAACTATAACTTACTTATATGAAGGCATACTGCCAAATTTAATTATTCTATCCATACTATTATTTAAATCTTCATGATTATGATAATCATTATTATTATTATTATTACTTGAATGTTTATAAGTTAGTTCAGTATCAGAAAAATTAATTCCATATTGTCCTTCAATTGAATCCAATAATTTAATATCACTACTACCAGGTGCACTAGTTCGACTAGATGATTTATGCTTACGATCAAATTTCTTTTTTCTTGATAATTCTACTTTATCTTTTAATCCATGACTATTACTACTACTACCATTACGATTATGTTGTTTACGTCGATGTTTACTTTCATTGTTATGTTCTGAATGATGGTGATGATGATGACGACGATGATGATTATGACATTCTAAATCTTTATTACGACTATTACCAGTTCGACTACGAATACGTCGTGAACATTCTTCATCTTGGTTATCATCATTTTGATTATTATCGTGATGTAAACGATTATGTCTATCATATCCTGATTTATCATGACTACTACAACTACCACCTCCAACACCGACAGTAGATCGATCATACATAGAACTTTGTAATTCTTGACATTCTGTTGAATTTGAATCAATAGTATTAAATAAACGTAATGAACCACCATTATGTTTAATAGATCTTGGTGATAATAGATCAGCATTTCTTTGATTAATTCTACAGCAACGACGACGACGACAACCATTCCTACTAAATGCACAAAACTTTCGATGATTGTGATTATTATAATAAGATTTGTTGAAAATATTAGATCGACCCCGTCGTCTAAATATGTAATGTTAGTAGAAAATTGAAATTTTGTTTGGAATAGAAAAAAAAAAGACAAACAGTAGAAAACTATTAGAACGTTTGGCGAGACTTTAATAATAATAATAATCTAGGTCGGTTATAGACTGATCTCACATAAGGTAACATTGAAAACTAGGGAATAATGGATAATCATTCTCTCGTAGTGAAAGGTTTCTCAGTAGTGAGCAGTCATAACTCCATCAAGAAAATCGGAGTCAGACCCATCAGTTGTTTAATGGAGAGTGTTCAACTATGGTTATTTTGTACATTTTAATGAGTTATAGCATACAATCCATGTAAAAAGATGTGAGAATAAGGAAGGATAATTATGAGAAGGTATTTATTTATTTAAACACACTAACATTAGTGAAAAGAGGCACCCAAAAATGTAAGCAACATAAAAATCATTCAATTTGTGTGAGGGCTGGGATATTGTCCGGGTGCCCAAACCGAAATAGGTGGTTTTCTAATAGAGCCACTACCTGAGCCTTTGACCTAGAGGTTTAATCCATAAGAAAGTGGGGCAACATTAAGAGATGCGGTCTCATAGTAGCTAGCGACGAACAATGGATTCATATGCCATTTGTTCCATGAGGATCGTGATGCCTATGTCCACCAGTGATCTAGAATAAGGGTTTTCCAACTTTCTCAGATGGATCCTTTGTACCTAACAACCCGGGTTGTGTACCAGACATCCGTTTTTATTCCTCTCAACTTAACAAGCACCCCCTTTGCGAGAAGGAAGTGTTTAGGACCTCCGTGGCTGTTTGAAAATTAATGTGGTTGAAATGACTGTTGTTAAATATTGTAGAAAACGATTACGACCAGTTGGGGGTTCAGTTGAACGCAACACTAATTTGTTAACTACAAATGACCGGAATTATTCCTATACGAATAAGATCTATTGTGAACTTGATGCTATGATAACTTCTATACAACACTGAAACAATTCATCATTGAAGTCGACTAAACCTTCTTTAATTAAGGTGGCAAAATGTAACTGTCAATACCTACTTGTTTACAAAACTATATACTGTATCCTAAATGAGACTTTAAACAAGACGTTTGATAAAGAATTTACACTAAAGAATTTCCTTCCCATGGTGGCTCGAATAGCTTAGTGATAACGTCTCGGACTGTGAAGCTGTGTGATGTGGATTCGAATTCACCAGATAGCACCAGCTTTTCGAAGATTATAGGTATGTCTTGGTGACATGTGTTAACTAGTACGAAACCAAGGTTGAATAGAAGCTCCTGCCAACTAGTTCTAAATATCTAACTAGTGATACTAGTCGGCTATTCAAAATGAATTAGTTAAAACGTAACTTGAATATGCTACTTGGATTGTTGAAAGTTGTGTAAATTAATCACTAAATTGCCCCCTACTTCAATGTCAAGAACTTCATACAATTATTCACAGTTAAAAGACAAGCGGAAACAGAAAAAAGATGGATTACCTGAACAAGATCAATCAATTTTTACTTGATCATTAGAGTTTACTAGTAAAATGCAAACACATAAATATAATCAACTAACCTGTAAATAAACATAAAAATTGCCAGAAATAGGAATACACCACCGACAACAACTCCAAGTATACAAACTAAATACAACGTATTCAATGGAGCTTTATAATTCTCACCATTACTGTTATTGTTATGACCTGATGTAACAATGAATAGATAAACCAAAAAGTTGATCAATAGTTAAATAATTCATAAATTTTGATTATTTAACATTAAACAAAAAGTAGGCCGATATGTCGAAACATTTACCTTCATGGTTAAACCAATATCAATTCTTATCGATCAGCTCTCTCCTACTATTCATGACTTTAACAACTAGCTATTTAATGATAACTTCATTCTAACGTGGTTGTCTAGATATCTGAGAGTATGGGCGGTTTCAGATGGCTTAAAACCGGTAAATACATCTAATTGTTAACGAGTTCAAACCAGTGCAAAAACCATGTCAATTATTCTCAATTAACCAACATGATTGAAATAAGCTAACCACGAGAAATAAAACTTAGATAACAGTTACCCGTTTGCATAATCCTATGTTCAGTAAAAAAGCTAATTATAATAATAACTATCAGAAGGGGGTTTTGTTGAGATTTTAGTAATTTCATATAGTTGATATCATGAGTCAATTGAAGATAGACAACCATGGAAAATCTCGAAGCACTGGACGGCTATTTCGTCCTATTGTGGGACTCCTCAGCAGTGCACATCCATGATCCCGCCTCGCGAGATTCGAACCCAGGACCCATCAGTCTGGTGCGCGAGCGCTTAACCACTAGAGCACTGAGCTGGCATCCAACCAGGTCTGTTGGGAGATATCGACTCACTGAAGACATTGGTGAATGGTTGCTCAATTTCGTGGATCAGTTGAAGTTAGACAATAACACCGTTAGATGACGGTCGGCTCAGTGGTCTAGTGGTTAAGCGTTCGCGCGCGAGATTGATAGGTCCTGGGTTGGAATCCCGCGAGACGGTATCGTGGATGCGCACCGCTGAGGAGTCCCAAAATAGGACGAAACGGTCGTCCAGTGCTTTGAGGTTTTCCATGGTGGTCTAGCTTCAATTGACTCACGATCTCAACTATACATAATAATAGCTACTTATAATGACTGAAAACAAGAATAATATCTAAAAAACACATCATTGTCTACATCTTTTTCAATCAATGACAAAGTTAGAACAATGTAGAGTTCTGTACAATAATTAATTGACCCAAATCAGAACTAGAAAGAAATATGTATCGGTTCAAGTTATCACTTGATATTAGATATTAATATAGGCAGAGGAATAGAACTAGATAGAAAGGTATTTGATTTTTAGGCATTTAGCTTGAGATTTCTTACAGTAGAAAACAACATTAATATATACTAAATGAAATATCATAAATGCAAACTATTATAACATAAATAAGAAAGATATCTGTGACAAATACAACTTATAAATAAAACCAATCTCCACAAAACCCTATCAAATAAGCTAGTCAACTTTTGACTTGCTGCAAGCTATTCCCAAAGTTCTATTGGATGGTCATAACAGGTAGAATTCAATCATTTTTAGAGTGAAACAGTTGTTATAAGTGGGATTGAGTGATTACCATGCAATATTGTGAATTGATCAAAGATTAAATTATATTATTAGATCTAGTTGTTAGAACGGTTAAGTGTTCATTACGAGAACTAAAAGTCTTAGAGAGTCCAATACTATGACGATCGATATCATTCGATCAGCACTAAGAACGACTTGACACGCATGACATTGATCACCACCCAGTGATCACCCAATTGTTATTATATCTCAGTCCTACAGGAGGTTGGTCGCGGCCCGACTAGCTCAGTGTTAACGTCTCTGCCTGTGAAGCTGAGTGACACGGGATCGAATCCGTCAGGAAGCAACAGTCCTCTCAAGATTACAGGTAGACCTTGTTGATGAGTGTCAAATAGCACAAAACCCGGGTCCAGGGTTTCCTGTTGACCACCTCCAACCACCATCTTATCTCAACATAGTGCACGCAGTGTCGAGCCACCTAGACTAGTGACCACATTGCAACTTGATCGATAACATTCGATCAGCACTAAGATGTACTTGACACGCACGATACTGATCAACACCCAGTGATCAATCAATTGTGACTATGACGAAACAGCTGCCTAACACACTCTAATTTCGAATGATAAACCAATTAAGATGAATCTATAGATAATGCAACCTACAAATGAAATGTATGGCTACAAAACCTTTTCAAGAAAGGATATTAGTTATTGAAAAAAAGTAAGGGGAATACACTGTCTTGTCAACAGTTTTTCCAACGATCGATTACTTTTTTTTTTAAATATTGACATGAACTCAAATAACTGGAAGGACAAAATATTTTGTTACATATCTCAGATAAGCGATCACTATAACTGAAATAGGTAGATAGTCTAGCCACCTTTGACCTTTTTTTTCCAAATCTAACACTGTTTGTCGAAAAATCCTAAAACTAATTTGTGAGATTTACGTGAATAGAGGTTGTAAAGTCTCATTTATTGAATTTTACATTTACAGGGTTAAGGGGGGCTGAAAGTTCTGTTCCTGTCTGTGTTATTCATTTGATATTTGAATACGGGTCAATAGTGATTCAAAGACGTTTTTTGGTTAATTGTTTGGAATTTTGAGATGGATTTCAGTTTGTGATGATTATTCAGTGAACTGACACCAGCTAGACACCTGGTGAAGACTATGGATTTATGTTTATCGTAATGCGAAACTCGTCAGCATTGTGCACTCACAACTTCACTCCACAAAGAATTCGATACAACAATCTTCCATGTTTCATGATAAGCTAATACCTTTAAGTACCTCAATTAGAATTAGAACTTTTTAATAATTCAGGCAGGTGAAGATGGTGAGTGACCATTATCGATTGCTATCAACTATAACTACTTTATACCTGGCACGACTGGTTTGATCTGATAATCACAGATATTCAGTACAATTTAAAAAAGTCATTTCCGAAGTTTATCATCACTATTAAAATTTTTCTTAAGTCCTTATTTACTGTAAAAAAGTCAGTAGAGCTTTTATGGTTGGAAAGAGCGCAAAGTATGGTTTATCTTTTAATTTTTGAGAAATCCATTACACATAAATTGTTAGATGGTTGGAAGGACCTGAAGGGGAAAACTCTGAACCTAAGCTTAATATCAGATGGCACTCGTCAACAAAGTGTAATTAGAATCCTAAGAGAATTGATAACACACTTTAGAATTCAAACCCGTGTCAATCGGTTTCACAGTCTGAGATGTTGCCACTGAGCTATTCATCAAGTCGAGACTGACTTCCTATAAGACTGAGATACCTAGATTGATCGTTTATTGGCCAGTGTCGTGTTTATCTACACTTTAATGGTGATTGAGTTCTATCTATCAAGTAACAGACTATAAGTTTTATCAAAAATGTCAACAATTCAGTTAGAGAACGAGTAAAAACTAGATAGAGAGTAATTGAACAGTTGTTGCCTTCTAGTTTATATATATATATATATATATATATATATATATATATATATATATATATATATATATATATATATGTCGAACATTCCTAGACTAATCAAACGAAAGAAATATGATTCACTAATCTATTAACCAGACACTATACCCACTCGCCCCTCTGGCAATCGACCGTATATATATGAGTTTACTAATTAGTGTTCCCGCTTTGTTTATTTTTTTGACCGAAACCTTAATAGCATGTAAATATTGATTGTTGTCAGACAATGAAAGGACAAATCTGGTTTATACTTTACTTGTATTAATGTCAAGGTCAGAGAGATGTCATACTAACTACAGTGACAAACACAATGACATAGAATAAATCGTCCGAATTAGTTGTGTTGTTTATTCTCACGAAGTCGAAGATGAATTGATCCGAGGTAAATCAGGCTTTGTAAAACATCGAAAATTATTATCCGAGTGAAAGAAACTGAACGAACAAATCATCCTTATTAAAGTTGGGTAGTGGTTAATAAAAGAAGTCAAGAAAGCAATTTTGCCTTATTTAGGACTCGTCAGCTGAACGCAGCTGCCGACAAATGTGGGTGTTTACACTGAAGCATTCAACACTGAGTTCAGGTACACTCAGATGACGAGTCCCAAACAGGATGAAACGCACCTCTTAGACTCCACTAATATTCTCGCTAGCCAAATTTACTTTTAGACCTGTGATTTCATAGGGAAGTATTGTTGTATGTTCACATTCTTATAGCCTCTTCAAAGGACAATCTATTGGAAAACCTTACCATGATAGGACTACTTTCATTAAAAAATGAAGTAATGAACTAGACATCCTTTAAATTAAATCGTGAAATATCATCTTAATACAAAAACCTATTTTTAATAGACAACGAAACTTGGTTATATTGTATTATAGAAAGTGCCGTGGCTTATACTTTAATGAATTGGTTAATGACCAAACCGACTACAGATTTGAACTCTGTAAATCCACTTAATGTTCAGGTCAGGTTGATAATAATATTACTTCTCTTCCTTATATATCGACTTAACTAAATGAACTTACACACTAGAAATACGATTCGTACTCCCATAGTTGAAAGCGTGAATCAATTGAATATAGACCACCATGGGAAACCTGAAAGCACTGGACGGCCGTTTCGCCCTATTGTAGGACTCCTCAGCAGTGCACATCCACGATCCCACACTCTCGAGATTCGAACCCACGACCTACCAGTCTAGAGCCAGAGCTTTTAACCGATAGACCACTGAGCCGGCCGACATCCAACGGTGTTAATGTCTAACTTCAACTGATCCACGAAGTTGAACAACCGTTCACCAATAGTCTTCAGTGAGTTTTCCATGGTGGTCTAGCTTCAATTGACTCACGCTTTCAACTATGAATATACTAAATCTCCACAAAACCCCTTCTGATTCGTACTCTCCCTGTCTCTATATATACACACACACTTTACCAATTGAACTGAATACATAAGGTAATTGTGAATAAACATGAATAAAAAACAAAACAAACATACTAAATCGTTTAAGTTGAAAATTTCGAGAATTTCCATAAGATTTTTGCATTTGTTTTAAATAATCCCATATCCAATGAATAACTTCTGAACTCAATGGATTCATAATAATAGTTGATTGACTTGAAACTATTGATGATAATGATGAATTTGATAAAATATCATTTTGATCATTTGTGATATTATTAGATTGATTAGTAATAACTAATGGTAATTCACAAGCATTACCAGTCCATTCAGGATGACATAAACAGAAACCAGCATTGGTACATAACTTGAACAAAAAATAATAATAAACAAACAAATAAAATTTATTTACAATTAAATGATACTTTATAAGAACTTTCATCTAAATTAGAGCGAATAGTTTTACAGTATTTGAGTCCAGTCAGTCAATCAGTCAGCTACAACGTAGGACCAGGCACATTTATGATCCGGTCCAAGTTGCCATACCTCGTTAGCACAACAAGATGAACACCGGGTTCATAGAAGTAATTAATTTAGTGGTGGTAGTAGTATATAAATTATAGGTTGTATATAAGGATATAGTGCAGGAAGAAAGACAGATATGAAGTTATTTTAATCTCAAGGTTTAAGGGAAGATAAAGAGTGTATACACCTACGCCATTGTGATAGATTCTGAGCCATGTCACCCACAGTCTCCAACAATTGGTTACGATAATCACACGGACCCCAACCAGGTAGTCTGCACCTGCCAACATGACTCAGACTAGAAGTTAGTGACTTCAAACACTGATGCCATGTTTTGGTTTGGCCACCCCTAACTCTCTTCCAACCATCCCCTACACCGGTCAGCATAGAGCGTCGTGTTAATCGGTGTTCAGGTATACGTAACACGTTGCCTAACCATCTCAGTCGATGAAGATTCATCACCTCATCAACTGATTTACCATCATTCCCTAATACCCGGTGTCTAACCTCAGTATTACTTACCTGGTGATCCCAGCAGATGCGAGCAATATTTCTAAGACATCTGTGGTCATATACTAGTAGCTTACGAGTATCTTCTACTCTTAATGGCCATGTTTCACAGCCGGCCCCGAGTTGATGTAGAACATTAAATAGGAATAATATATTTGTAAAATCTCAGCCGATTAATTTGAAGTCAATCCAACGTTTCGCCTGGCAATTCGGTCCAAGCTTTTTCAAGGAATTATAAATAGTTTCACAGTATTTGGGCGCCGAGTTGATGTAAGATCAGATTGTCAGGCGAAACGTTGGATTTACTTCAAATTCATCGGCTGAGATTTCACAAATATATTCTACCTATTTAATATCTTAAGTGAGACCTTTTTCAAATTTTCTTCTTTTTAAGAAAAATGAATAAATAACTAATTTGGAAGTAATCATTTATCGGTAGTTCAAAGCTATATGTACTGTTTTATGGATTAGGTAAAGACGCTGGAGGTGATTAGAACATACAATGCGGAAACCATTAAACTGCATCACAAGGCAAAAGCTAACTTGAAATCCTGAAGGGAAACGGTAAAGAGGAAGACCAAGGAACATATTGCGCCGTAAATTGAAGGCAAATATCGAAAAAAATTGAATAGCAACTAGGAAGGATTGCCCAAGATTGAGTTGGATGGAGAATCCTGGTAAGCGGCCTATGTTCTTCCAAGAGGGGTAACAGGTGTAAGTAAGTAAGTACTCGGTACCAGATTCAATGTGAATGTCAGCACTCAGTTGCATGTATATACCACAATCATTAGTTATAGATAGGATATAATATACCTTTTGGATATTATTGTTAGGTAATTTTTAAAAACTTCAGCTTTTATTGTTTTAGAGATTTCCTAGCTATAATTTACACAGATAAGCATACTACTACGACCGAATTTAGTCTTTATTGATTTTGGCTGCTCAAATACAGTTGATCATTTTAAAAAAAGCTTCAAAGGAATTCTCACTGACTGAATTCATTTCTTGATATATAACCTGGACTTTAATAAATGATTGATCAAGTAATTTTTTCAATGAGTTATTGATTTTTATGTGATTGGAAACAATCACATCTTGCCATCTACACATCGTCTATATGTCATCTTGCACATGAACAGTTTGTCATTCTAGAACAAAATGTAGTCTTATGAGGTTAAGTTCATTATTTATACCATTAATTCAGATAATGCACTTTTTAATAAGAACAAATTATTTGAGGCAAATCAAAGAAAATACTTCTGATTCTGAATGCAAGCATGAAAAAGGTGGAGTACTTTCACAATCATTGTATTCAATCTTTATAAATCATTGTAAACTTAAATCATTATAAGATGAGATATGAGAGCAGTATTTCCAACCGCTCTCCTTCCTATAAGTTGAATTCAAGTGTCAACCCTGTCAGGGTCGGAAATCTTACTCTCTATGTCTGCTTTCTTTAAAAGAATTGCACACATCATATGTTTCAGAGACACCGAAAGATAAAAACTTAAATATTATTTAGATGATTAAACTCTGTTCACTTTGACACTTTTTTTTAGCCTACATACAGTTAATTGTAACAAAAATAGATCTTTGATAAAATCTTTAAAATTTACATTATTTTACTGTCTCTCTCCAATCTTTCAGTAAGATTTACTTAGATATTTCTTTATATGGTCAGTATTATGAGGTAAGCAATGAACGATCGTTTCGTACTTGTATGAACCTCCTCAGCAGGGTGGATCCACGATCTTGATAGAAGGATTAGAACTCGGCACTCTCAGCCTCAAGCGCGAACGCTTAACTGTGTTGAGTTTGAGGCAGCTACCCACCGAAGACAAAGGAAGATGGTGGTGTGATTGGAGTTTGAAAGTGACACTGTTTGACGCCCATTCAGTGGTCTAGAGGTTAGGCGTTTGTTGCCGAGACCGAGAGTGCTGGGTTTGAATCCCAAGTGCGGGATCGTGAATGAGCACTGCTGAGGAGTCGCATACTGAGACGAGACGATCTTTCATTGCTTCCAGGTTTTCAATGATATTCTAACATTTATCAGTTCATGATTTCAACGAAATTCAATAATCTCCATAACCACAAACTGGAAACGTATTTATTTATTTCATAAGAAAACTTTACGTATGTATATACATACACTTAGACAATCACAATGCCTATTATATACTATCTGTTCCAACTCCCTCCAAAAAACACCAATGTTCACTTACACCATGATCAGAACATGTCACATTTTGATAGATGATATGTCCATTTTCTAATTGTTTATTTATTGGACCAGTTGGACAGTTTGATTGGAAAACAACATGTGGTAGTACACATTCTTGATGAAAACAATAACGATCAGGCGCACATGATGCGCCTTCTGGGACAAATCGAACTTTAGATGTATGAGACAGATATCTATGTAACAAAATAAACAAAAAAGTAAAATTAGAGAGGGGTTTTGTGGATATTGTGGTAATTTAATAGATGAATTCATAAGTCAACTAAAGCTAGACCACCATAGAAACACTACTGAACGGCCGTTTCGTTTTAGTATAGGGCTCCTCAGCAATAAGTGTCCACGATCACGCCTCGCGAGATTCGAAACCAGGACCGATTGGTCCGTGGGACTCATAAAGTAATAATATCAAATGATGTATTATATTAAAATCTAGGAGACACTGGACAACTGTTTCGTTCAAATACAAGATTCTTTATGAGGACGAACTAGAGATGGTACTCAGGACCTGTTAGGTGTCTCAGTTACTGCCGACCCTTTAGATCGCTGAGTTAGTATTCAACGGTTTGGTTTAAATTTTCAGTCAATTGAATGAAACGTTCGCTAACAAAACAAAATTCGTGGATTGGTTGAGGTTAGACATTAACACCGTTGGATGCCAGCTCAGTGGTCTATCGGTTAAGGGCTCCGGCTCGAGACTGGTAGGTCCTGGGTTCGAATCTCGCTCGCGAGAGCGGGTTCGTGGATGCGCACTGCTGAGGAGTCCCATAATAGGACGAAACGGCCATCCAGTGCTTCCAGGTTTTCGATGGTGGTCTAGCCTCAATTGACTCATGATCTTAACTATAAAACAAATTGGAGTTAGACAGATAGACAACTGGGTGCCAGCTTAATGTTCTGCAAGTTAGGAGTTTGACAGCAGGACTCAAGAAGCTGGGTTATAGTTCCGGTGACACGTTAGTGGATGGGCATTGCTGTCCAGTCCTTCTTGATTTTTAATGGTTTTTTAACTAAGATTAGTTTCCTCAAGATTACAGGTACACTTTGCTGATGGGTGCCAAACAGCATGAAACCTAGGCCCAGGATTTCCTGTCGACTGCATCCGGCCATCATCTGGAAGTTGAAAGACGTCAGTTCTGTTTCAATTTTAGGAGGAGAAGCAACCTATTCAGTGGGGTATTTTGGAGAAGTATGGAAAAGTGAAAAAATACTTATCTTAAAACTTAAGGGAAATTAAGAACTCGTTAGTACGATAGACTTGTATGGATTGTTCGATTTTGGCAAGCGACCGGAGACAGTCCGTTGGAAACCTTGTACTAACTTAGCATGGCTCACTGGAAATCTTCTGTGAACTGATGTTCTCTATATGACTCAAGGTTGCTTCAAAGTCGAATACATTACAAATGAGGTATTCAGGTCTCAAAAAATTCAGGTCGCAACTGACTTCGTATAGGGATGAGATATTTGCAATTTATTGATCACTGAAAAGTGATTAATATTGTGTTTCTCTAGTCCTTATTTCCATAAACATAATGTACGCGACGTCAAAAACATTACTTATACTAATGGCCACACTGTAACTTGATTGGTAGGATTAAGTCAACAATAATTTTAAAAGAAATATAACATTGGTAATTATTCAGTGATCCATCAAATCCAAAGTGTTTGACTTTAGAATATAATTTACATCAATAAAAACCAAGAAATAATGAATAGCCGACTTTTTGTTCAACTAAGGGACTACTTCCCGACAGTGTATGCTAACAACATCAGCCCCCCCCCCCACATCATGGGTTAAACCTATAGTCACATTTTACTATTTCATTCAATTCGTAATATTAGGCAACTATTATCTAATTTATCTATCAATTGAAGTAGGCTGTCTCATTCCCTCTTCAGTCAGTTGTATAAGTAATATCATATCATAGCTGATTAGCTTACATAATAAGCCTCCAAAAATGGATTATAAAAATGGATTAAGGGAAGAACTTTTTCAAAAGAAAACAACTAACGAAGATGGGATCATCTTTCTCAGGAATATCAGAATTATTATTATTATTATTAAAATAAATCATTTTTTTAAGTGTGAAACTAAAAACGTTCCATTTCTTTAACTCAATCACACAGACACACACACACAAACAAACAGTAGTCACATAGATAAACAAACAATAATCTGAAAATAAATAAACATAATAACACCACCACCATTGTGCCTTATATTATGATCATGGAAACAATTTTATGATCGGTTAAAATAACAGAAATTTCAAAAGCAACAGACAAACATACAGAAAAAGGGAATAAAATTCTTTAATGACTAACACACGGAAGGAACAAGTTATTTTGAACAAATTTAGTATTGATACTACGATACTACTTACAGTGTACAATTGTTACTACTACTACTAGTAGTACTAGTTTAATCGCCTTGTCTCTCAGACAAAAGTGCACAGGGGCGTGTACACACATACACACACACACACAAACGAACAAACGCTTAAAATAACTATGACAACTAGTTTAAGTTAGTTTGTTGGTTTATAAATTGAATAGAAGTAATAAATTAATGTCATAAATTTTATTGAAAAACCGGTAAATGCGTGTCCAAACCCCATAAAATAATAATAACAATAATAATGAAGATAACAAGGTGTACGGAGTGTCTGTTATGGTATTTTCTTTTTTCTTTTTATCTAAGAATAAAATCTCCCTTTTCCAAAACATAACTGGCCTAATCAAAGTGTCAAAAAAATATTAAGGATCTGAGGATTTTTTTTTTGATTGGGATGTTCCAACATTCAACCCGTTCAACAACAAAAATATAAGTGTATATTTACGTAGTTGTCAGCGGTAGCTCTCAAACAGAGTAGTATTAATAATTGTTGCGTGTAGCGAACAAAACAGAGAATTGTATTCTTTATTTGGCACAGAGACAAAGATGAGCAAGTCTTTTCATTAATGAATAACACATAGGCAACACTAACAAATAATAAATGTGTGTGTGTGTGCAGAATGTTTTGTATCAATTCAAACTCAACTACTAATCAATTGAAAATGATTAATTGTTAGATTATGGACATAGAAAAAAAACGCAACAGCGACAGTAATAGAGAAATAAGGGTCGAAGAAAATTCACAGAATGAGTAAATAATTCGCCATATGAAATAGTAATGATAATAAAAAATAATGAACGAAAATAATAGAACTTTTTATTGAGATCATGAATTGATCAATGCTAGATCACTACTGAAATCCTGGAAGTACTGGATAGCCGTTTCATCCTAGTATAGAACTCTACAGCAATATGCATCCACAATCCCGTACATGGGAATTGAACCCAGAACATTCGGTCTCACGTACAAACGCTTAGACTATTGAGTCAGCATCCAAGTGATAATACTAGAACTGTTCCACTTCATACTAACTCATACGTATAAATGTTAACGACAGTATCATTTTCCGATTTCCCTATGATTGTCCTCGTTGACTTTTTATGCTTGGAGTAAAAAGTGATTATATGGAGTAACTTATTTCTTTACTGTATATTCCCTAACAGAAATTATATATATATATATATATATATATACTGGTAAGCAGTAAAGTCGACTTTTGGTTAGAAGATGGACATCGCGCGTACATCACAAGTGACGCAAGTTGGAAGAAGCCAATTGACCCTACTAAATCCTTGCCAAGATTTCGTCAGACACCAGACCATCAAGATTGGTGAGACTCCCAAGATAAGTAAGGCGGTCGACGCATTCAACTACTTTACTCCCTATCATCCAGGTGCTCAGAAGCAACAATGCAAGAATGTTTGGGATGCGATTATCTCGCTGAAAATGCAAAACGCTGCTTCAGGATTGGCTTGCATCATAGCCTGAATTAGTGATAGACAGTGAAGTAGTTGAATGCATTGTTAATATCAATAGAGTTAATTAGTTGGTCATAATCAATGTATAGTATGGCATAAATCTGCGCTAACCAAAGTTATCTTATCACACTACGACAATAAGATCAGATTGCAAAGATGAATAACATAGAAGTAGGAGTATTGTACACAGGAAAACTAAACAATGAGAATATGTTCTGAAAAGATAAAATGAAATGATACTGAAAGTCACTATCTAAGGTAAGAAAGAGGATGAATATATCTGTGCTATTGTGTCCGATTTTGGTCAATGCCATCTAACATCCCTAACCACTGATTACGATCATGATATTGACCCCAACCAGGCAGTATCGATCTGTCAACATGCCTTTTTCTTGAAAAAAAATTTATACTTGCTTCCCACACAAGATATTGATCGTGTGATAGATTAAAATCACGTTTTTATATCATTGAGTCCTAGAGAGTCAAAACGGCATACGTTCCTATTAGATTCCAGGTTCAAAACCGTTAGGCTTAGTCCAAATAGATATTACTGTTAACGTCTAAATTTTGACAGCTCGATATTATTATAACCATTTGCAATGTGGCACACAATACCACATAATTCCCGCTTGTTCCTACTGGTAGTTATCGCATATACTGTAATATCTACTGAGTTGATTGTCTTTTTTTAATGTAAGTCACTTCTTCCGAGTAAATAAATAAATAACCGAACTAAACTAACACGTTTTAAATACTAACACAGTCCAACAACAGGTCAGTAGCGAACCAAATAGCTTAGTAGTAACGTCTCTAACTTTGAGTCTGGGTATTGGGAGTTCGAATCTGACATGGGACACCAATTCTCTCAAGATTATTATAACACCGTGCTCACGAGTATTACCAAATATGATGAAACTTAGGTCAAGCAGTATTTCCTGTCGACTATCTCCCACCACCATGAGTCAAAAGCACTTTCAACTAGTAATGTATTTTTTTAAAGTACAAATTATTTTTAACCAAAATAGAAAAAAAAGGAAGAACATATAGATATATGATAAAGCAAATTGAGATAGGCACTAGAAAACAGAAGAAGAAAAGAATATTACAAATAGAAAGGGTTTTGTGGAGATTTTAGTATTTTTCATAGTTGAAATCATGAGTCAATTGAAGCTAGATCACCATGGAAAATCTTAAAACACTGGACGGCCGTTTCGTCCCATTGTGGGACTCCTCAGCAGTGCGCATCCGCGCGAGATTCGAACCCAGAACCTACCAGTCTCGCGCGCGTTATTACAACTTGCTAATTATAATTGTTGCACAAAAACACATTAATAGTGGTAACATCAACATCATTTGGCGAGACTATAATTTATGGATGACCTTTGAACGATGCGCTAAAGTGATCTTGAGAATATTCATCTAATTATCAAGATAAAAAGAAGATTATAAATTAATGTAAGCAACTAGGATTACACTTAGTGTTGAACATAAGACTTAAGAATTAGAGTCAGCTTTCTTAACCACGAACTGATATCATCTATGATGCTAATATGTTATTTAGCCAAACGGATGAATCAATTTCGCGTCAAAATCCAAAAGTTGTAATCTTCGATCTGATTAGTCCGTTCATAGATTATAGTCTCACCACACCATTCTACATAATTTTCCCAGTAAAAATGTACGAAAAAAAGAACACAAATAAAAGTAGAGAGAATATAGGTAATGAGAATAATTAAACACATTAGTAAATAAACACAATAGGGTATGTCTCCATTTTGACACAAAAAGATTATAATAAACAAACAAATGTTTACAACTGATCAGGTTGTAGCAAACATGAAGCAAAGAGGGGGGGGTGAAGATAAGAATGAAAAAGTTGTGTAGGATGTAAATTAAGAGTAAATATAAACAAATGAACCGAATTAGATAAATAGATAGATAAACAGGGGAAACCAATAAACAAGGATAAAATTACAATATAGAAATAAATTTAGAGAATTTTATTACAGTTTAAGTAGAAGAGAAAAAAAAGGGAGAAATTGTACAGAGACCAGTGTTAGTATACTAGGTACATGGCTTAAAAATGGAAAATAGGATGAGCGTTTCATCCTATTCAAAACTCATCAGTTGAATGTGCAAGTCATATCCCAGTGTTGATATCCAAATACAAAAAAAAATTAAATATTTACTATTGCAAACATCAATGGATTATACGCCCAGATAGTCACTAACTTGTTTAACAGACATGAAGATATTAAGTAAGGGTTTGTTATTTTTTATTGCCGATAATCAGGATTAGAGTTAGTCATTGTTGGGATATGTGTAGGGGTATTGTTTATGAAATTGAGAGAATGGAGATCAAATATCCGGCGCGCGAACCAGATTAGTGGGCATGGAGCATCCATCTAGGTAGGCATGTAAAAATTTAAGTAAATAGAACCTGAAGCTTAAACGCTGAAAATTGAATGCTTTCACCAATGAAACATTCACTCTACGTGTGCAGCGTCAGAGCTGTAGATTTCGGCTTTAGTTCGGTAGAGTCATTGATGCAGATTGTTGAGTAGTCAATTATTGTTTCATTTTGTGACAGCTAATTATGAATTCCGAGCGATTCTTCTAATCTGAGCAGTATCTATTCGCATTAGGTAGACCGAATTACTAGTATACAGCATTTTAATAACAATCCTTAATGTGGTTAGAGATAAAACTCAGGAACAAAGAAAAAGCTTGATAATCAAAAAATATTCAAAATTGTAACAAAACCTCTGACGTTTCGTGACTCAGTGTAAGTCACTTCTTCAGAGAATAAATAATTTCTGAACATTCTCTGAAGAAGTGGCTTACACTGAGTCATGAAACGTCAGAAAATTTAATTTTTCTACTCATTGGGAAATTACAAATATATTATTTGATTTATAACAATCTACCTAATGCTCAATTTATTCGAAATTATCAAGTCAAACCCTGGTAATAATACCTAAAAACAACCTTTGTTTATAATGCAATATATACGATCTTGATGCCCAATAAAAATAACACACTAAAACCCAGAAAAGTCAATCAAATAATAATCAAAGGTTAGTATGAAACTATGAACAGAGAAAAGTTAACACAGGCTTTCTTACACATTCGGAGTACCACTTATTAATAAAAAAGTAAAGAAAACTATGTAATTTGAGATCTTACTAGCACATACATATTCTGGGTTCAAGTAAATAGTTGAGAATATAATGATTATGCTACACAGGCTATTCATAGATAGTTTCAATGAAGGATGCATACCATTACTATAACCATTAATTGCATTTTTCAACCATTAGGAGTAACAAAAAAGGTAAACGAAAGAAGAGACCCATTTTTCATTGGTGAAGTTATTATGTGTAGAGACATTTTCTTGAAGACTTACTTGCATTCAAATTGACGTCCTTGATGTTCTGTATACGTAACAAATGGTTGACCAGATTGTGCTTCCAATGAAACTGGTCTAGGTCTACCCCCTTGACATTGTAAAAGGCCACATTTTGCATGTCTAAAGATATGAAGCAGAATGAGAGAGTGAAGGAGAAATGATATAAAAGAAAAAAGTAGAGTAACAACATTGTAAACTTACATAAAAAACCCATCTGAATTCATGAGGTTAAGTATTATTACTGTCATCCAAAGTTTAGCATTGAGCTGCTACTCAACATATGTTTCTATTAAACTATTCCAATGAATCTATATAATTTCATCGTTTAAAGTGGCTCCTGATGAAATTAGTTAGGTTTGAAAACTAGGAAACGCACCAGTTTATTCATGTCAATTTGAACAGAAAAAATGAGTAGTTCATGAAAATTGGAGGTTGTGACTATACTTACTTTTAAAGAATCTGACAATAAAGCAAACAGCTGTCTACTGTGTTTTTAGTAGTTCTTCAGTCTATGATGAAGATCAACTTAATAGTGTACTTCGGCTGGGATCAACAGTGATCATAGCGAAATGGTATTGCTTTCCAGTTGTCTACACTATAGGATTATGCTTCTTCTCGAGGTACCTGAAAAGCAACCTGGGTTAGGGGTAGTCTTATGACGTGGGAGAGTGCTTTTAGTTTTACTGCTCTTTTCAAATGACTTACTTGGTATAGTAGGACCTAAAAGAACTAATGTTCTAGTCAGTATAATTCAGCTGGGTCACTATGACATCCAAGCTTAACCACTATGTCAAAGTACCAGCTACAGTTGAGTAGGGGATAAACAATATAATAAATAAGGAACAGAGTGAAATAGTGTTCAATACTCATACTTAAAGACATCCCACGAATTAGCGTCAGAAAAACATCTGTATACATATAATACAATGCAGAAAACGTTATAATAATCTTTGTGTAAATAAAACCTAACAAAAAATGAATGAACTAACAGAATTAAAGGAAAAAAGCACAAGACATATGTAATATAATGTGAGAAATGAACTAACTCAATAGTACAATGCTGTCCTTGTACACCACAAGCTCCGTCAGTTTTAGTATTATGTAAATGAAAACAATAATCAGACGCTTCTGTAGCTTGTTCACCCCAAATCATTTCACATTGACTATGACGTGTTGGACAACGACCTTGATAGCATAATGATTTATGATTTTCAACTAAATAATTCAACTGTGATGATGATGAATTATTGCTTTTCTGTACAACTGTAGTACTAGTAGTTGTAGTGGATGAGGAGGATAAGGCTGACAATGATGTCGACGATGCGGATACAGTACCAAGTAGTGATTGTGTTGATTGTGTCAAACACGGGGAACCATTTTCCAAATATAAATCTAATGGACAAGATGGCTGAACGAAAAATAAACATTATACAAGAGATATGCATGTAAATAAATACATAATCTATGTAGACCCAAAAATTGTTACAAAGGAGTGCCAAAATATGTATATGTCACACAAAGAAGTTATTAGTCAATCCGCGTGTAGGCTGAGATACTGTCTCTATACTAAAACCAAAGCGGATGGTTTTCTTAGGGGGCCACTACACCAGCCTTTGACCTACAAGTTCAATCCACAAGGTAGTGGAGGTGGTGCGATTCCATGGTAGTAGCCGGTGTCCAATAACAGGTTCATATACAACTTCTTTTTTGAGGTTACCATTGTTATATACAATAAATGAAACCTTTTGTTAATTTTAATTATATTATACCATACCACTCCATTTTCTTTCACTTTCACACTCAATACTTAAATGAATTTAATTATTTTCGACAATTTTGTAAAACTTTACTATTTCGCTATCGACCATAATACATGTATATAAACTGTCTACAAATACGATTGTACAGCTTCAGAAAACGTATCACCGAAAAGAAGATCAGATTTTTGTAGGACTTTACTCTTATCAGTCAGTCATAATGTAGAACTACGTACGTACGTACATCAGTTCGAGTTGTCATACCACATTAGCACAGAGATGCAGTTGTCGATTCAAACATCATAGTGACAGAGGTGTAAGAGACAGTAGTATTTATATGTATACATGAAAAGTATCAAAAAAATCAATATAACTGATAAATCATTGATAATAATGATGAAGGATTATGTGACTAAACATATATTATGTAATAAGTACAAATTGATCGAATAATGACAAGTGTATTACTCTTATTATTACTAATATATGTGTTATAGAAGTATGTATTACTTAAGTATGATGGAGCAAATAAGTGATTAGTCTTGAAATTAGATGTAGGATACTATATAAAGATGTTAATAAATATGTGGATCTTCATCTCAGATGGTTAGGGGGGTGGTGTATATGTTACATACTACTAATCATCATGTAACACAACGAAAATTGATAATTAGCGTATGAGTTTAGACCAAAATAAGGCACCAACCGTTTAAGTGAACTGCATTAAAAAGTAAACTTCACGATTAACCTAGCAAAGAATCTGTTAGTCATCAAGTAAAGAAATATTTCATAATCAATTTTAATATAGATCATTAGTTCTTTTGCAACTATAATAGATACAGAAACAAGGATCGACTAGCATCGAAAAACATAGGGAATGAAGTAACGCTTTTTACCAATAGCTTTTAACCTATCTAATATAAAAAAAAGTTTACTGAAATGCCAAAGTGCTTATTCTAGTTATTTTATTGATAGAACGCAGTCAGGAGAAAATTGCGGGATTTGACATCATGATGTCAGTATAAAGGACTAATGCTATCAACAAAATAGGGATGCTAATACAAATCAATGCTCACTGTTCTAAATCAGACAAAAGTTGACTACACAACACTAAACGTAGTATTACTCACCACCCGCCTTTCCCGATTCTGCGAACGGACACATAAATAAAACTACTAAGTAAAGAAACACAATTCAACTTACATGGGTACCAGTACAAAATTCCGGTAGATCACATTGATCAAATGCTGGACGACATAAACTACCTTTTTGTTTTAAACGACATTGATGACAACATGGACCATGTGTGCATACAGCCCATACAGAAGCTAAACATGTATCCAAATTACAACAAGACATTGGATTAGTAAAGTTTGAAGAATAACTTAGAGTTCGACGAACAATCGGATCACATTCTTCACCACGATCAATTTGACCATTACCACAGGTATCAATAAAAGATTTGGAATCCTAAAAACCAAGGCGAAGAAAAGAAAAAAGAAAATCATATTTTATAATATATACCTCTAAATAAACTAATGTATAATATATGATTTGAGTAATCTAGGTTTTAACCTAATAGTATTAATCTGCATAAAATATATGTGTTATAACTTGTGGCCGAGTGGATACCCAGTTAATGTATGACGTGATAAGACCGTCAATCAGAAAGCAGAGAATTATCGATTGGAACAGTGACACGCGAAAACTGTACGAGCAGTCTAGAGTACGTATCGATCCTGCTTTCTGCCTAGTCCAGCCAGTTAAGTCCAGAACACCAGTAACAGCCTTTGCAATATGAATTATTTATTTCAAGTATACTTAGTTTATATACCAAACAGACTGACCACATCGTACCAATAAAATAGAAAATAACATTTCTACAAGACTTAGCCAAATGTGGCTGTGAATGTGGTAGACAGTAATTGATAGACTAGGGATAACTCAAGAATGGTCAATCGTATAATAATAGTTTATAGTTCAAAATCAAGTTCATCATAAGGGTAACATGAATATAAATAGTTTAGTTACTTAGCAATCATACGATAGAAAATTATATGCATAACACTAGTCCATAAATGAATCCCAGTTACCATTCACTATTATTATTATCGGGGCATAACAATATATGACAAATAGATGTGATATACAACGACAATTCAATCGGTGTATAGAGTTATAGTTGACGTTAAAGTAATAAAATTAAATAAATTTCCAATCCCATGGGAAAATATACAAACTAAAAGAATGAATAAACAAACAAACAGAACAGAACAAGAGAAAATGGAATGAGAAATCACTACCATAATTAGAAGAATGTGTGTGTGTGTATCTATGTATGTGGAACCAGTTTTACATATGTATTAATAATAATAATCATAATGATTGGGGACTCAGGTAGTCAATTAAACAAAACCAGACTATAAAAGATTGTTGTCTTAAGGCTACAACTATACAATACATAGATCAACTAATTAAAATTTTAATCGTCAAAAAAAAGAAGCTAGACAAGCATAAATTCAGTTAACTCTCCCTCCCTCCCTCCCTCTTTATGAGAAAATTTGTACATAGTAATTGAGATGTACACAATAAATCAATGCAAGTACCTACTATATAGGGGTACAGTGATAATAAATAACTGAATGTATACATCAACACACACACACACAGATCTATTTGTAAACAGAAAAATTCACTTTTTTTTCAAACACTAGTTTAAAAAAATGACGCTGAAATCAGTTATTCATTCATCCATTCAATTACAACACAGTTAATTATTAAGCCTCATTGAAACTCACAACCGCAAGAATTGAACACTTCTAATTTTTTTTTGAAGAGTATGTTGTTGTATAAAGTATGTTGATTGTTAAGCAGTGTATAAAGAAAAATTAGACTGAAGGAAAGTTTTTTCATTGATTTTTTTTTATTGTTTTATATTCTCGCACGTTTTTCTGCTATAACATTTATTACATTTCATTATTAAAAGATGATTATGTCATCATGTTGTGTAGATTGACTACAGCCCCTAAATGCCCTGGTACAGCCGAGTGGGAAGAACCCGCCATCTCTCAAACGGCCACGCGTATATAGCCTCTGTCAGGGAAGTCCTACTCACTGACTTCTCGCACCACGGGTGTTGTTTACGGAATTGAGAAGACGAAAAGCAAATATCTGGCGCTTCAACTGGGTTGGTGGACACGGAAAGTTCACCTAGGGGAGTTGGAAAACCTTGATTACAAACTAATGATGCACATGGACTCCAGTACCCTGAGGAAACAAATGGCGTATAAATCAATCGTTGGTCACCGGCTACCATGGGACTGCATCTCCTTACGATTCTCCACTGCCTTGTGGATCAGACCTTTAGGTCAAAGGCTCCGGGTGTGGCACCCTAAGAAAACCACCTGCTTCAGTTAGCGCAAGATCACAGCCCTCACACAAATCAAATGAGATTTGTGCGGCGCATGTATATCTGGTGCTCCCTTGTACCAATATTTATGTGTTTAAATAAATAAATAAATAAATTTGACTACAACTCATCGAGATATGAAAGTCCCAAGTTTGACAAATGATAAAATTGTATGTGCTGTACGGACGAGCTACAACGAATTTGAATAGAACAATTAATATTGAGTGTCTACCACTTAGGTTTTCATTGTTTTCTTTCGACTGTTGTTACTTTATGAAGAAAGTGTTTTGAAAGTAAACAACTCTTTATAAAGCATTCACATGAAGATAGAAAAGAACACACCAGTCATTGCATATCCTTTAACGGTTGCTGACAATTAGGTTTAGAAAAATATAAGTTTAGACAATTTTTATGGATTAAACAGAAGGTAGCTTGCTGCGAAAATTATGGTGCGCTCTTTGTCAGTTGGATGAATCATGGATGTAAATAACACTGATCAAAATTCAGTGCAAATATCAACATCGGGATAATCTAACCATTATAGGTTCAAACTAAAACCACATCAGATCCTTACGAGTCATTTGTTCATACTGTTATTACTATTATCACTATTATATTAAAGTGGAATTTATTGTGGTTAACATTAATTGCTGAACAGTGAACGAACAATCGTCTTATTTTAGGTGCCATAAGATCTTACAGATTGTTAAATTTCACTGCTCACGTGATCAACTGACCTTAGTTAGCAAACTATTAGAAGCCAGACAGCCTTGAACAGTTGTTTCGTCCCATCATAGGGCTATTCAGTAGTAGGCAGCTACAACCCCAACGAGGATTCAACTTAGGTCTCGAAGCGGGCGTTTAACCATTAGATCACGAAGTCGAAACCTAGAGATTTGTATTTCTAACTCCAAACTATTCTCCTTTTTTTGAAAATTACGAAGTTAACACTAACAATAGATATTGATGAGGACAGAAAATAAGTCAAATTTTTTATTTGTGGATTTTTTGCTACTTTGACGATAGTTTACATAGCCAATCAACTCAAAAATAGTGTACACCTATCTATCTGTTCAACGAAAAGTTTCGTACTCACGGTAGATTCTGAAAGTCATGGAGTCAACTCTTAGGTAAAACAAGCGTACAGGCAATGTTTAAAAGTTTCATCAAATTAGAGTGAAACATACTTTTACAGTCCTACCTAGTGGTCTTCAATGGATATTCAATTGGATTCCGATGATAATGTAAACTGTCGTTAATTTTGAATAAAATTAATCCAACAAAAAGGTACAATGGAACAAATTAAATAATTAAATGACAGAACACAACAGGGAAGCAACAAAAAAACAAACCTTTGTTACAGCAATATTTTGTAGTAAACAATCAGCCATACCAGATGATAAAGCAAGTCGAAGACGTGAATTATCACCGTCCGAAAATAGATCGAATGAATAACAACTAGAAATGAAATAAAAGATAAGATAGGGAAAGAGAAAGATAGTAAGATATTCAACGAATTATTTAGAAGCTGTTTTCTAAATAAATTGTTATTCATTATAGATTTTGTCCAAAAATAGATCATTTTAAATTCAAAGAAATTCTTAAAGCTGACATACCCCAGTTACATCGCATATTGACAATTTCAACGGGACAGGAATAAAGTATTTACGGGAATTGAAGGTAGTCATCAGGAAATCATACATGATCTCAGTTTCGTGCTAACTGGCACTCATAAACAAGGTGAACATGTAGTCTTGGGAAAACCGATTCTCCTTGATTGATTCGATCAAGCTTCACCATTTAAGACATTATCACCATCGACCGATTAGTATCGTGAGTGACCTTTAGGATTGGGATATTTACAAGTGATTAATCACCAAGTAATGATTAATGTTGTCATTGTCTAGTCCTGTCTAGTTCCAATTGAATCCTATTGATTAAATTTTAAAAATAACCACTAGTGTAACTTCAGATAGCATGTACTCCGTATTAGATGGTCGGAGGTAGTAAACAGAAAACAGTGAATCTAAGGTTCGTGCTATTTGATAGTCGTCAGCAAGGTGCACCTGAATAGACCTTTTATTATAGAGGATTAATTAATCATACAAATTAATGGCAATAAATATTTTGAGTCACACACATACACCTATGAAATGAAGGTCGATCATACATAGTTTGTTTAATAAATACGCGAACTGCACTACAAAAACTTTCATTGATAGATGACCGTTAACCTCATGTGAAAATGTAAACGTCGAGGCTATTGTGATTACCGATTGCCAATTCACCATTCAGAAGATTGGGGATTAGTTGGCGATTGATAAAATAGATTATACACATAATTCTAGCAACATATTAAGAGTGATAGAATGATGTAAAATAATGATCCTAAAGTTATTGACATGACCAAAAGCTGAAAATGATTGTATACTATGCAAACTGAAAGAAGTTTGTTCAAACGTCTGGTCCTCCTAAGAGAAAAAAAGTCATCATTTATAACAAATCTACGATTAAAAGATAGAACATAAACTTATAGGTGCGTTTAGAACAAAGGAAATACTGACGCAGTCAACATTAGGAGTTACCTGTACAATGGAGGACATGGAAATGATTTAATGCCAAGAATTTCTGCAATAGCCAAAGAGATTAATCTAGATACGTGATAATCCATATCGGTATTGTTAACCTAAAGAAATAACAATACACAAAGTAGGAAAGAACATTAGATAAAACAAATAAGCTTCTATATTATTTCATAGATGTGAGATTAACATTATGGGTAGCAGAAGAGAACGAAATAATTTAGTAGCAATGATAATGAAAAAGACTATGAACTGGGAATAAGGGTTAAAAAGGACAGAGTGGGAAGGTATGTACGAAGAAATACCAGAACTCAAGATCTAGCGTAAGATATAAAGTGAGCGCACTATCATCATTGTGACGGATTCTGACCCATGTCAAATAACATCTTAAACCACTGATCGCAATTATTCGCACGGACCCAAATCAGGTATTCTTCGCCTTTTAACAAAATTAAGACCAACAGTCCATGATTTCATGAACTGATACTATGTTTAGTTTCGATTCTTCCAATTTACACTTGCACCAGCTAACATACTCCACTTAGGCAAGTTGTGATGAATCATCATCACATATTCCAACGTCCTAATTTGACAAAGAATCACAAACTTATCAAACAGTTTGTCTAGCATCTTATATCTATTCTGTGTTTTTTATTCTGTTGTTCTGCCGGTATCCGAACAATGTTACGAAGACACCAATGTTCTAAAAACCAGCAGTTTACGCAAGTCTCTTAGTTACATATTACATGTTTCACACTGATAGGGTAATACATGTTGGACTGTTCTCGCAGTGTACCCACCGTTCGAAAGATTTATTGTCCGTAATCTATCACTCACTTTTACACAAAACATACATCATTCAATATGTAAGAACACACACACACAAACGCAAACATACTCAATCATCACAAGACAATATTCATTATTATTCATAATATATTAATTTGAACAGTGAACATTTAACCAAATGTGAATGTACTACTGACCCAGGAGGTTACTCCGTGTGTCTTATTTATGTTTATTTATGTAAAGTGTCGGGCTTTACCATTGCACTTGTAAAGGAGGGAGGAAGAATAAACAACTAGGTCAAGGTTATATGATGAAAAAAGATTAGTGCACAAATGTAATTGCAATAAAACAAACTAGTTAGAATGGCGTCTTAAAATAAGATGTATGAACGAAAAGCTCATTAAATCAGTTGTGGAATTTTATAATTATATAAATAAACGAATAGATAGATTCATCGATAGGTCAGCGCGCACACATATATATACACAGGAACTTTGTAGTGATTCACAAGAGTGCATTAAATTATTGACCTGTATTAATAGGATTTGTACTATATACAACCGCGCATACTGACAAGTATCGAGGACTGTATGAACATCAAGAATATCATGTAAATAAACATATATATAGGTACATGTTAAAACGACTATTATTATGAACAATACAAAATCATGTATGATTTATGTATTTATAAAACCTAAACACTTTCTATGAAAGCAAGTTTAACAAGTACAGACTAACTTGTAATCCAACTTGTAATTCCTTTTTTTTTCTGTTTTAGAGTAGGTGACATTATTTGCCTGCAGAAACTAACGATAATGTAAAGAAAATATTTAAACCTAAAAACCTACTCTCATAGAGTACGATAAATCGGCATCGGTTGTCAAATCAAGACATCATAGTGGGATGAAATGACTAACTTTATTACCAAAATAGTGTCAGTGATAGCAGAGAAGATTAAAGAGAGAGGATAGGATTCAACAAGAGAGGATGAAATAAAAGTATAACATAATTTTGATAATCTGCGCAAAAATTTAGACGAAGAGTGAATGTATCTGAGCTATTGGGACTGATTCTAAATTATATCACTCGACATTCCTAAGCACAGTTCACGTCAATCATAGGAACTCTAGCCAAGTAGTTTGTACTTATCAATAGTCCTGAGTTGAGTAGTTAATAATTTCATGGAATGATTTATTGTTTCATTTTTAATTACTCTTTTCTTCCAACATATTCCTACCTTATCTAACATTGTGCATCGAGAAAAGCAGTAAATGGGAACATGTAGTAAATGTATCAAGCACCCAATTGTATGAAAAGTCACAATCTTATCAACTGATTTCGTCTAATAATATCTGTTAGAAAAATAGCGTAACAATTCACAAAACTAGCGAGCTAAATTCAATGTCACTGTCTAAAGAACTTCGATTGACGAATCCCAAATAAGACGAAACGTGGATCTTGGATTTAACTGCTAGACACCATCCCTTTCTGCTTACAACAACAGACTGCTTTTATTTGAATAAATGTAAAAATTATTATTTTCATTTTGGTTGCATTTATTTTAGTACATTTTGCACAACTTTGTTCGTAGACCACAGTTTTAAAGATTAACAAAAGTTTAATGAAGGTTTGTAATTTCCTCTCGTTATCTATACTGTCATACATGCATACTGAGAGGATTACCTTGATCAAGTGTCTTATGTGATTTTTGGTGGAATACAAGACTCACGTTTTATTATATTTGAGACTTGACAACTGATTGTATCACTGCATTCTCACACAAACAATTGAGTTCAGATAGCCTTTCACTTAGTTAAACAGAAAGATACCAAGCTTAGGTCTCAATGTGAATGTTAATCACTGGGGATGTAAATAAATCTGGTTAACCAGTACCAAATAAGTTCAAACACGCATCGTGAATCCCACAGCTAGCTGCATATACAAGATGTAGTAAAAACGTATTTCCTAATAAATGTAGATACAAAAAGCAGTTTTAATTTCAACCAACCCCATCTCTTCTACTTTGGTTAGAGCAGAGAAATATAACGATATCACTTTCTTCGTACTAAAAACATGGCCGAAAAATCAATTTTTGATCTTAGTAATTCAATCACATCATTAAATTAATATAGAAATAACACCAATCATTATCGAAAATCGCTAAGAATGTATGTTCTGTGGTATCGCTGGTTTGTCAACTCTCAGTGGTGGCACATGCATATTTATAATACTAAGATACATACCATGATACCCTTACACAAAATGAAAATTATCAACACTTAATCAATCAAAATTGGTTAAAGTTAGACATTAACACTGTTGGATACCGGCTCAGTGGTCTATCGTTAAGTGCTCGCGCGAGAGATTGGTAGATCCTGGGTTCGAATCTCGCGAAGAGGGATCGTGGATGAGCATTGCTGAGAAGTCCCACAATAGGACGGAACGGTCGTCCAGTGCTTCCAGGTTTTCCATGGTGGTCTAGCTTCAATTGACTCATGATTTCAACTATATATAAACTATAACTCTTCATTAATTTGAATGGTTAATTATTTAATAATTCGTGGAGACCAAAGAATCTAACACTGTACGTAAGAGACTAACTTTAGTAAAACAAACACTGGAAACAAGGAAATCTGTAGGCATAGTATCAAACTCTTAAGAAGTGCACATCCACAACTCTCCTGAGGACTGAACTCAGAGCCTTCAAGTCATGTAGAGAGGTCAACCTTTGAGTCAGGGAGTTAGTATCCGATCATCAACATTTTAAAATCCAATTGATCTCCACATAAAACTTACACTTATAATAATCATATGGTATAGAGGTAATTTCCGGAGTCAGCAGCCGTGACCAGTCACATCCAACCATGTCAGGTACGAGGCAGGTACCAACCAAGATAATGGAAAATAGTTATGCGAATTGATTGAAGTTATGCGTGTAGACCACTGGATGACAAATCTGTAGTCTGAAGGTCAAGTGTTCACTCGTTAAACCTCAAAGATTTGACAGGGTTGAGCATCTACAATGCCGAACAGTCTTATACTAAGACAAATTGTTTGTCGAGTGTCTCTTAGTTTCTGATTATTGTCTAACTAAGTTCAGCAGTTGAATTAAGTTATAAAAATAACCCAGGAGAACTGAATGACCTTAAATGGATTCTTTCGATTAGTTATAGTGAGATAATCCTTACGAATCCATAATAATCTATTGTAATCATTATTAACATGGGGATAATAAATTTCTTCCTAAAGGAAAAAACCTTAATTTTTGCAACGTCAACACACTAAATAGTGGTAATCACTACAAGAAGAATAGGTCGTTAAATAGAAACAGGTAATGGATAGATAGATAGATAATAATTTATTTTTAAGGAAAAATACATCAGACATATATATGTAGTATATTAATACATCCACACAAACGGGCATGAACGGATTCGTACCCATTCATATGTATGTATATGTACAGAGATACTAGATGATTTATACACCCATCCGCCTAGATTATTCATAAACTTGACAATTTAAATAGTTATTGAACATACATTGACAGATTAATGTTGTGATATGAACATTCATGATAAATGATGCATACCTACCTACCTACCTACCTACCTACCTCCACACACATAGACATACACATATTTAGAAAGAAAGCATTGAAAAGAAAAAAACAAGTAGATAAGTAACGAGGAAACTAGTCATAATAATAATAATAATGATAAACAGTTAATATGAGGCGGCAGTAAGGCACCTGACTACTTACTAACCAACCTACCCACATATGACCACACAAACCTGAATAGTACAGATATATATTGCATAATAATAATAATAATAATAATAATAATAATAATAATAATAATAATAATAATAATAATAATAATAATAATAATAATAATAATAATGGGAAAAGATTGTCTCAACAAAAAAATAAAGAAAGGTTTTTTAAATAAGAAAATAAGATAGTAGTAGACATGATAGAAACCATGATTATCTAAATAGTGATTACCCATAAATTATGTCCAGTAGTTGTAGAATGTGATAAATTGACATAAAGTAATGCACTTATGTATGATCATGTATATGTGTGTGAGAGAGGGAGAGAGTAAAGAAAGTGACTTCATACTCCTGTATATGTATGTAATGGACAGGGAGTAATCAGATGGAAATAGTTATTGAAGAAAGTAAGCTGCCATAAATGACTAATTCAATAGATAAATAGATCATTTTACTTGCTCATTTGCAGCTAGGTATGCAGATCTTTCGTAAAACTTGTTATTTTGCCAACTAATGTCACGTGTAGCGTAGGATAGATGTTACTCGCTTAAAGTTAAGGCAGTTACACTATCCAACAGTCCTTTTACTTTAATTTATTTGAACACATAAATATTGGTACAAGGAAGCACCAGATACATATGCGCCTCACAAATCTCATTTGATTTGTGTGACGGCTGTGATACTGCCCAGGTGTCCAAACTGAAGCAGGTGGTTTTCTTAAGGGGCGACACCCGGAGCCTTCGACCTAAGGGTTTGATCAACAAGGCAATGGAGCATCGTAAGGATATGCGGTCCCATGGTAGCCAGTGACCGATAATTGGTACATACGCCATTTGCTCCTTCAGGATACTGAAGTCCATGTGACCATTGGTTTGTAATCAGGGTTTTCCAACTCCCCTAGGTGGATGCGCCGTGTCCACCAACCCGGTTAAAGCGCCGGACATTTGCTTTTCGTCCTCTAAATTTTGTAAACAACACCTCCGCCACGAGAAGACAGTGAGTAGAACTTCCCTGTCAGAGGCTATATATTCCAGTGGCCATGTGAGAGCATTTCGAGAGGGAGAGCTAACTCTTCCCGTCCTCGGCCGTACCAGGGCATTTGGGGGCAGTGTTGAGGTTACATGCAAATTTTCATCGACTGAGATGGTTAGAGCATATGTTATATAAATCTAATCTCCGTCTACCTAGTCCAGTCAATTTAGCTAATGTTGGAGTAAATTAGAAAGAAAATAATAGCATCCCAATCGTTGACTGTTTGTTTGAGCCATGTTGGCAGATAAAAGTATATTACTTTGTGTCAGTGCAACGATCATTAGGTGGTAACAATGGTTGACACGGATTAAATCGGAGACACAGATATATCCAACTGACGAGTCTTATTATAGGGGATGAAGTGTGAATCCTAGAATTTACTCCATGTATTTTGTATAATCATGTAAGTATTTTTAAACACCAAACTGTTGTCAATAATATGAAAACAGGAACAAACGACAAAGGGGAAAAAGAAATAAAAAAAATTTCACTACTACTAAAATTACTACTCACTTGAATTATTCCTACAGCTCTTGGTGTACATATACTATCTGGTATGGCTATATATTCTACTGGATCAGTAAATCTTCTCCCAGTGAGTAATAACTGTACATCAAAATGCTTTGTATACAGAGATGGATTATTTAAAGATGATGATGAGGTGGATGAAGAAGTTTTACGAAGAACATCATCATCAGCATTAATTGATCGTCGATGAATACGATGACGCTAAAACAAAATATCGGGAAAAAGTTAATAAACAAGAGTAAACATCATTATTCTGAAGTCACTTTATCAAAACGTGACTTGATGATTTCAAACACATTGATGATTGGTTAGATCATTGATAATAGAAGCATTGATATACATATATATTTGTGATATTCCACAATGAGTAGAAATAAGAATTTCTGGATTCTTCTTCAGAGGTGATAAATAAACAACCAAATTACATTAACATAAGTTTAAATAGAAAGTAGGTACAAATGCCATGATACGGCCGAGAGTGGGGAGAATTAGCTCTGCCTCTCCAAATGCCCCCACATAGTCATGTATATACAGCCACTGTCAAGGAAGTCCTACTCACCACCTTCTCGTTGCGGGGGTGTTGTTTACGAAATTGAAAGAACGAAAAGCGAATGTCCAGTGCTTTAACCGGGCTGATGGATATCGAAGATCCATAGAGGGAAGTTGGAAAATGCTGATTCCAAACCAATGGCCACATAGGCTACAGGATCCTGAAGGAACGAAAGGCGTGTAAACCTATTATTGGTCACCAAATATCATGGGACTGCATCTACTGATGTTGCTCCACTGACTTGTGAATTAGACTTGTAGGTCAAAGGCTCAGGAAGTGGCCTCTTAAGAAAGCCACATCCTTCGATTTGGGCACCCGGACAGCCTACACACAAATTGAATGACGAAGTTTCGAGCACAAATATATGGTGCCTCCTTATGACAATGTTTAGGTGTTTAAATAAATAAACTGATTTGTTAAGTCTTGAAAATGTTCTAACATGAATGATTTGAAATCAGTGAACAGCAGATACGATTGATCAGGCGTTTGATACTTATCTTAGATTTTATTAATGACTGGATTCAAGACCACCTTTTAAGTATCTCGCAAAGAGTATGGTACATTTAGATCACTAGGTCAAAATATGTAACTGTAGCAACTTTTATAATTTCAGTATATATAATATGACCATCATTTGATCTTATCAGTAGGTTTATTGGTTCATTCCCGAACTGGTTGACTGAACAGATGGGTTAATGGTTCAAGAATTTAGCTTCAACCAGTAAGCTACAGATTCAAACACCGCACAGTCTACATTGACTTAAGCTATAAAGAGGGAAAATTTGATCAATTAAATTTGCAGTTGATTAGGTGTATGGCAATCATATCATTATCATTTTAGTCACCAATCAAACTCAACGTAAATTGTGACACATGTATAAATCGATTGAAGTTGTCATACCCTGTTAGCTCAGAGAGATGAAATTATCAGAACAAATAAAAGAGCAGTAGAGGTAGCAAAATTATTATGCCTTTAAAGATAATGGCTTCTTATTCAGAAATGAATGTTCAACGGTTTTGTTATTTTCCATAGATTTTCAGCTGATATCGATCTTAGATAAAATTCTAGTTGCATATTTCGACGAATTCTTGTATCACAACGAAACAGCAACCCAAGGCCTTTTGGGTTTAAAGGTTTTTCCAACTAGAATCAGTCCGTGATATAAAACTAATGTTACTTTTTAAATTCATTAAAAATTGATCAGTCTCTTTATTGGTATATATGCATTCTGTGAGGATTGCCTCGATATCCCCTCAAGTCACAAGCATTATAAGCAAAGACGGATAATGGCTAGCAGAGAAATCCAGGATGCACGTTTCATCCCATCTGGAACTAGTCAGCTGAATGTACCTACATCTCAGAGTTGATGTTCACTCCAGGACTCGAACCTAGTACTGTTCTCTTCAAACTGCACTTAGCCACTGATTCCTGATAGTCACTAGCTTGTGCAATGAGGTGAAGTTGAAATTCATTTTGTACTGTTTATTTGAATTTTACCATTAATTATTAGGACTGTAATTGATCAGTCTCTGTTACAAAATCTAAACACAAATATAAATAGACTTGAAATCATGATTCAATCGAAGCTAGACCACCGTGGAAAACCTGAAAGCACTGGACGGCCCTTGGGAAATATCAATTCACTGATGACATTGGAGAATGGTTGCTCAATTTCGTGAACCGGTTGAAGTTAGACATTAACATCGTTGGATACCGGCCAGCTCAGTGGTCTATCGGTTAAGTGCTCTGGCGCGAGACTGGTAGGTCCTGTGTTCGAATCTCGTAAGGCGGGATCGTGAATGTGCACAGCTGAGGAATATTGCAATAGGACGAAATGGCTGTTCAGTGCTTTCAGGTTTTCCATGGTGGTCTAGCTTCAAGTGACTAATGATCTTAACTCTATAAAATTACTAAAATCTCCACCAAACCCCTTCTGACAAATATAAATAACAAAAATGTCCAATTTCAGAGGAAAAAAAATTAACATTTACCCCAAATGTATCATTTCCAATGGAAGGATTCATTATTACCACATTAGTTTTATTAACAACATTATTTTTGACAAACATCGATGAATGATACTTTCTACGACGATTAATAATGAAATGAGCAAAATTATTCAATGTTGTTTTAATGCTAACATTTGATTGAATTAAATCTTTTAGAGTCCATATTTCTGATTGAATCAAATATAATTCAACAGGAACATGCTGAAATGACTGAAAATTATAAATGAGGAAAAAAACATTTGTGAAAAATGTAAAAGTACTAAACGACAACGTTGTAAGATTAAATCATATGTTGGGAACATCCAACTACTACTATAGAGTATATTCGTAAATATTAGTATTCGATAATAGATGTATTCGAAGTGGCACTTATGCATTTTGAGAAAATCGAATAACCAATCCTAAGGTTAAGAATAGGATACTAAAGAAATATGGTAAATCAATCTTTGAAATAGTGGTTCATCTGCTGAGGTGGTTGAGAAAAGTTTTACATATGTGCAACCACCGCTTACCTTGATAAGCGATGTTGTATGACGTAGGAGTAAGTTGGAAGAAAGTTAAAGGCCCTCAAACCAAAATGTGACAACAGTCCGTGAGATCATTTAATTAGGCGTAAACCACCTGACTGGAGTCCGTGTGATTATCGTAACCAATGGATAAAGACTTTGTATGAAATGATTCGGCATAGTTCGCTATGGTCTATGACATTAACTTTTTGTCTCCATTTAGAGTGTAAATCTTTTTAAACCTTTTTTCTCTCCATAATTAAGCTTTTGTACTAATACCGACACCATTATTAACCTTACTACTATGGAATTTATTTTGAGTTAATTTTATTTCCCCATTCTAATGTACAGTGGAAACTTGAACCAATGCACAATATGTGCCAGGTCCTAGACTGTATATGACTGACTAACTGATCCAACTGTGTGAAGTGTAACACAATTGAAATCTAACATTATCAACTTCAATGTTCGTTCATTAAACTGTCGTCATCTTATGTTCGTGCTATTATCAATTACTTTCGATTACTTTCATGATTAAAAATGTAAGTACATAGTTATCAACTCATTCTTTTTCCCTCTTCTAAATTATCACAAATAATCCATTCTTCACAGTTCATCAGCATACAGTAGACCTTCAGGATAAATGTAAACTTATTAAAAGTTGAATATTATAGAATGTCCATATACCATCGTAAATACAAACTAATTGTTTACAATGATAACAATATGTTTAATAATAATAACAGTTTGTCGAGTAAGTCAATAAATGATCAAAATTAGTAATTACTAATAATAAGACTGTAGGTAAAGTTGTTTTATGGCATTTATTCATTTTTGTTAAGTTTTTCTTCGTGGCTTCTCAGTTGTTAAGTATAATTAATGAGTTTATATAGTTGAAATCATGAGTTAATTGAAGCTAGACCACCATGGAAAACCTGGAAGCACTAGATGGGACTCCTCAGAAGTACGCATCCATGAACCCGCACTCGCGAGATTCGAACAAAGGACCTATCAGTCTCGCGCGCGAGTGCTTAACCACTAGATCCAACGGTGTTAATGTCTAACTTCAACCAATCCACGAAGTTGAGAAACCATTCACCAATGTCTTTAGTGAGTTGATATCTCACAATAGACGAAACGGCCGTCTACCGCGTCCAGGTTCTCCATGGTGGTCTAGCTTCGATTGACTCATGATTTCAACTGTATAACTAATGATTGTTATTGACAAATTATACATATTTATATAGGGAGATAGAAGAAAGAGGTGTATAAAAAGGTAAAACTTTGACTCTCGAGCACCTCGACAAATATAGTTATGATAATATATGCTAATGTAAATTATTGTTATCTGTTTGCCACTTCTCAACAAGAATTAAATTTGGGGAGAATTTCTAAAGTTCCAAATAGAGATCTTCGTCAGTAGAGTTCAATCATGTTAGCGTTGTCAGAGGCAATTATCACCAATGAGAATGATAGTCATGTATTAATATATAATGAATTGGCAAGCATCTGGATATAGTTTTCAAACCAATGATCTAAAAGCAACTCTTTCGTTATGAAGCTTGAAGATAATTTTTTGTTCGATCTCTTATCTTGAGTTACGAGTACATACTGACAAAGAGTAGTGAGATTAAAACGAAACCACTGTATGAATAACCTATATCTCAGATACAAATTTATTTAACCAAGTTCGACTCATATCCCAGTTATGAGGACTATTCAGTTGTCAAACTGAAGTAAAGCGTGATTCGGAGAAACAATTTAATAGCTGAAATTCAAATCAATAAGTGATTCTACACTATATAGCATTAGTCCATCATCATAGTTCATTCCATAAATGATGAAAATTCTTCATATTCATCATCATTTTGTAAATTAGTCAAGTTTAGTTACCATTTCACACCATACCCCAGTAATAATAATAATAATAAAGTAACGATGATTATGAATCATACATCTGTAAAAAATGTTGATGAACAGTTAGTGAGTGCGGGGATAAGTAAAACAAAAAACAACCCACATTTCTCTATATATACAAATGTGTGTAATATCTGGGGTTGTAGTTAGGCAAAATGTATTTGAAAAATGGGAATAAAACTACACTTGTTGTTTACATTTCACTTTCCCAACCCCACTTTTATTGCAGGGATTAAAAATAAAATTAAGAAACAATATGTGCCCCTATACATTTCATTATTTATTCTCTCTCATTATCTATTACAAAAACCGAAATAGACAGCTAGCGACTAAATGAGAGATAGATCATCGGATTCCATCAGGGGAATACATAAATCAGTGTATTCTCATTTAATATTAGATTTGCAGTAACAAGTGCATGTGTCTGTCTGCGTGTGTGTATGCGCAGACACAACACACACTTACATGTTTACATATGTACGATGAAAGTAAATGAATAAATATAAACGTAACGGCCAGATTTACTACTACGGGGTGGCACCGATGATGTAGGAGCATAATGAGTCATATTATAAATGTATTCTCACTACAACTACATAAAAATACATATTTATAATTAGTAAAATGATGTTGATGATAAAAAGCAGCGCATATACATAAGGTCAGCAGTATGTGTACACATATATATGTGTGTAAGTTATGTACAAAGGTTACCAGATAGTGTATACATACATGTAATCATCTAATGAACAAACAGTAACACAGGTCAAGTCTATCGGTTATCGAGAATATTAAAAAGAACACGCCCATATACACAATGGAAGAAATTAATACAAATTACTCTCTATTTGATTTTGTAGGTAGTACAAAGGTTTTGTGGAGATTTTTGAATATTCGTAGATGAAATCATAAACTGATCCCATCAGCAATGAGTAACAACGACCATTTCACAGTGAATAGAACTCAAAACCTTACTTTGTGTTGGTGAGCCAACACTTCACTCTTAGACCATTAAGTCGTTTGATGGTTTGTACATGCTTAATTTCAATCAATTCGTGACACATTTCTCAGTCATTTTCAATTGTTGCACTGGATAACTGTCTCATATCCGACATGTTACTCACTAGAGCTCCTGCATTTCCAATGGTGGTCTAACATTGATTGGCTCATGATTTCATTTAGTGCTTAACAATCTCCACAACCCTATACTGACGATTTTATTGTATTTCAGAAAACACCAGTCAATTAGTAATGGTCAAACAGCAAAGAAAAAGTAATTATTAAAGGAATTTCTCAGTTAAGACTGGAGTTAAATATACATTGATCATTGTCATTTTTACGTTTTTATCAACAAAATTCTGTAATTGAATAAACTTGGAGTATGCACTAGCTGTAGTTATCCTTATGATGATTCATTAGACAAGTTGGAGATATCTTCTTTTAATTCTACAACAATGAACAGTGAATTATTTTGCACCACTGTCATCTCAAGATCGTAGATATGTCTTATAGGCTGAACACTTCATAAAAGCCAATCGGTAGCATTGGATAAAGTATGACAAACCTTCATACCGCTGGAACACCATGCCGTACTTATAATGTTATTAACATGAACCTATTCATTTCATTACATGACGACAAAGGGTGAATGTGTTAGGAGAGGGAAAAGAATAAGCTCTAGATATATTGAATTCATACAAAAATGTATAAAATGGTATTCTGTACAAGCTCTTCATGGTGTCATTCTATGTGTTTGACCTCCTTCATCATTTGCTGATTGCGATTTTTATGTCTGTAACATACATGTTACACATATAGTCATCAAATTTACCAAAGAAATTACTATCAAACAAAATTAATGTAATCGTTTAGGTCTGTTTATCAATATCAAGAGTATCAGAGAAAACAACCACTGTTCCATTTATTTCCACATATGAACAAAACAGACTGACGGAGAGATATAGAAAGAGAAAGGGAAGTAGATAAAGAGTTAAGTGGGGAAAAGAAACAGACGAATCAAGAGTTACACAAAAATTTTTTTATTGATAGTTCTAATGTTAAGTCACTGAAGGTAGCAGTCAACAACTTTACAAAGAAAAGAACGAATCAATTCGTTCACATGCTCAGTAGTATATAATGACGTTTAAAGTAAGAAGCAAACAAACACAGAATAACACCAATAATGTGATGAAATAAATAAATATCCATCAACAAAAGGGGTTTGGTGGAGATTTTAGTAATTTTATAGAGTTGAGATGATGAGTGCGGAATCGTGGTCTAGTTTCAATTGACTTATGATCTTAACTCAATAAAATTACTAAAATCCCCACCAAACCCCTTCTGATAATGATCATGTGCTCACTAGCGACTGGCTCCATGAGGTACTTCCTGGAGTTCTAGTGAGAAGCAGTAACCAGTGGAGTTCAACCAGGTCTGTTGGGAGATATCAACTCACTGATGACATTGGTAAATGGTTGCTCAATTTCGTGAATCGGTTGAAGTTACACATTAACACCGTTGGATACCTGCCAGCTCAGTGTTCTATCGGTTAAGTAATCTGGCGCGAAACTGGTAGGTCCTGGGTTCGATTCTCGTGAGGCGGGATCGTGGATGCGCACTCCTGAGGAGTCCTACAATAGAACGAAACGGCCGTCCAGTGCTTCCATGTTTTCATGGTGATCTAGCTTCAATTGGCTAATGATCTGAATTCCATAAAATATCCATCAATTCAGAAAATAATTGACTTAACAGAGAGATTTTTTTTCAAATAACAAAGACATGAGTATTTGTCTCAAAACCTGAGTAATTGTGCTTTAGGTTCGAGGCCTGGTAAAGAATGTACTGAGAAATATTTTGATAGGAGGAAATAGCTGTTCAATGCTCCCTAGTTTTAAATGATATCCTGAGATCAATTAAATATATTAGTGTACCTTATTTGGCATAGTTACTAACCACAGGAACATATGCATATACACTCACCTTAGTTACTTGATTTAACACATTACTTAAATAATGAATACTACGTTCCAGATTATGACCAAACGATGAAAACTGTGAAAAGAAGAAAAGAAAAAGAAACACCAATAAAACAAGTAATGTGAACAAAAAAGTAGTAAAATTCATTATTCCAATTAAGAAACGGTTGATCATTAATTGCATTTCATAAACAAATCATTCTATTTCCATAGTGAATAAACCATGATGAAAGTCTTAGAATTACCAATACATACACACACAGAGACACTCAGTAAGTACACTAGAACATACATACACATAGTTGATTGTTTATTCAGTAAAAATGGTTAAAATTCCCAATTGGTAACACAAATTTTTGAGATTATACTTTTTCAGAAAATTAAGTAGTATATGGATCAAATTGGAAAAAAAAGCATACTAATTAGCGATTATAACCTAAATAACAATTGTTGTATCTATGTATGTGTGTATTTACGTGGGCACGCAAGGATAATGGTCTGGTGATGTCTCAATATTGTGCCTATAGTTACAAAGCTTTAATTCTATCTCTCCATGGTCGTTTGCACTGATATTGGTTGGTTTCACCTCAAATTCAATTTTGAATATCATTAATGAGAAAGTTTTGTGCTAGCCAATCAACAGTATACGTTCGAAATCTTCCGCCATGAGAGAACGAACAGTCAGTCATGAATCAACGTGAAGCTTGGGCAAAAATGTGCGTTAACCTAAGTGGCCAGAACACATAAGCACAACAGATGAATTCAAAAAGGTGAGTAGCAAAGAAATCAAAATACTGTAATAGTAATGGTAATGACAAGGGCTATGCAATGAGAATATGCTTCAAAAAGATCTATATATAGAGGGATACTGGGAATCAAGATCTAGAAGTACATAAAAAGCGAGTACTTCTGCACCATTGTGATCGATTCCTATCTATGTCATTTGCAGCCTACAATTACTGATCACGGTTATCGTGAAAGACCCCAGACAGGTAGTCTACACTTTACAACACAGCTCAAATATACACTCAATGAATTTATGGACTGATACCATAATTTAATTTGCCTGCCTCTAGCTCTCTTCCAGAACGTCCAGTATTTTTAGCGAGTAAGTTACAAAATGCAATACTGGGTGGTTGGTAAATATCGGAGTTACTGCAGTCGATTCAAGATATTGCAAGACTATCATCGATGCTACTCATATGATATGTTCAACATCATTACTCAAAAGTAGTAGTTATTTTATGATTTCCTCATTCATAATTTTACGGGCTAATTGAAAACAAACATTTATCAGAGCATTGATATTTGAAAATTAATGAAGGTTAGTTGAATCTATTTCAGGATTAGATCAATATAAAGCGATCATTGAATTGTAATTGAGCGAGAAAAATAGTGTAATAATATAGAAGAAATAGAGATACCAATTGAAGTTTTCTAATTCATTGAAGATCATCAGAAGAGATTTAAAGTTATGATAAATTATTGTATTTGTGCACATAAAAGAGATTTCTAATAGCTGAGGGACTTTTCTAGAGAACTTATCCTTGACAATCTCTATACAACACTTTAAAAAATATATTATGATCAATTCTATGTCCTATTTCAACTATGTATTTTGTTATTGATGGACATGATTTCCTAATTCCTATATTTATCAGAATATTTGATGCTAACTGATTCTTTAGCCATTGCGGTACAAATTGAATAAACTTTGTTTGCAAAGATCACTTACTCCTCCTAACGCATTTCTGTGTCAACCCTCCCCCAAACACGCACACACAAGTAAAATGATAAATACAGTGGGATGTGATGCAATTATTTTTTATACAACGCTTAATCCTATATGGAATCAAGGGTTTAGTTGTTTGCAATAAGAATTAATCTAACAGTATAGCATGTTTTCTCGAGGGCTGCTCTCGTAAATAATGCAAAGCCGTGTCCATATGTAATATAATCAAGCTCTAAATACCAGGATAGTTATTTCAGATGAAGAGAACATACCATATATATATAGTTATTTCAGAACCAGTCAACAACATTCTCTCTCTCTCTTCAGTGTACACACAAATGTCAATTTTTCCCCCTTGAAAAAGGGTAGTAATTCACCCCCCCCTCACAGTTGATATTAGTTAAATTTAAAAAAACTAGAAAAATAAAATTGTCAAACGCCAACTTACTAAATGATAATCAAGCGTTAATGCAAGATTTATAGTGTATAATCGAGGTCCTTCAACTTTCACTAAAGATTTTCTATTCATTATATTAAAAATATCTGTAGGGCGCCAAAATACTGGTAATTGAACATCTATTTGTAAAAATAATATACACAACATGATAATATCAGAGAGACAGAGAGAAAGAAAAAGAAAATACAAACAAGGATTAACAAAATGTATCAGATATAATAAATGACATTTGAATAGTAAAAAGGTTCCTATGAATTGAAACCATCAGAATATAGAATACAAAAGAAAGGTTGAAAAAGAAAACTCATTAATCAGAGTACATATATGGATTGTTGGTGTTGAATATGGAATGTTGATGACATCAATGGCTGAAAAATGTAACATTTTGTTAAGAAAATATTCATGTAATATGGTAGTTGTAGATTGTCAACAATAAATACTTCTTGACTTCGGTTTCGTGCTATCCAACACTACTTGTAAATAAGATGTATTTGTGATCGTAAGAGGGATGATGGTCCCTGATAGATTCGATCACATGTTGCCCAGCTTTACAGTCGGAAATATTACTCGATCGACATTAGGTAAGATTTGACATACATGAAACTAGTCCTAACTCAGTGGTCAATCAATGGTAAAATGTTCATTAACTTTGATGCAATATTTTCTGTTAGTTACCTATTTTTAGGTAGTAACAGGCAGTTATGGATTAAAACCAACTATGGTAACAGAGAGAATAAGGAACTATTGGAAAGTATTTTCGTCTCAGTATTGCGTAACTGTTCAGTGAGGTTTGTCTGTGACCTACATAAAGGTTGAATCCAGGACTTTTGAGAATTTTAATGAGTGTGTTACATTCAGACCATTAAGTTGAAACCAAATTTTCAACTTCACTCAACTAGTGATATAGTAGGATCATGATCATGCAATGTCATGGGTGATGAAAGTCTCACTTTTGACATCGTTGTAATTTAGTAATCAAAAATTATCACAAGGTTATTTCAAAACTACTCAGTAATGAACAGATAATTGAGAAAGTGAGCGGCTGCGGAGGTTGTATAGGTTTTTTCAGTTTTTTTTAGACATGATTTAGCACCAGTTAGAACAAGTATTCCGATTATGATTCTCATACAGACATACAAACAGATATAGTGTTTGTATAATTGATAAGATATTTCTATATTTGAAAATGACAGGGCCGCAATGACGTTTGGAGCAAACGGTACTGTAAGGGGTTCGAGGCCCGGAGTAAACATCAACTCTGCGATATGGCAGGTGCACTCAACGGACGAGTCCCATATAGGACGAAATGTGAGTCCTGGATTCCATCGATAGGCGGCACATTCCATCTAGTCTATATGGGAACCATTACTGTTAGTAATATTATTAAATATTATTAAGCAAGCACACTAGGGGAGAGATGTATTGGTAATGTAAGAAACAATAAACAATATTTTAACGAAAGGCAGTAAGTTATTTTGATGAATAGAATAGTAAGGAAATGCAAAAGTATATTGGAATACTTTACATCATGAATTAATTATAATTAGATAACCATAAAATACTGGGAAGCATTGGATATCTATTTCGTTTTAGTATGAGACTCTTTAACGGTGCTTGTCAACGACTCCATTGAGGATTTTCAGGGCTTAATGAAAGCGAGTAACATTTAGACTAATGATTAGATATCTGCTGGTTTACATATCCAACTTCAATAAGTTCGCATTATTGTGCAACTGTCTATGGACACTAATGATGGGTAACTGTCTCCCAATCAACATGGTGCCTCCAAATGCCCTGGTACGGCCGAGAGTGGGGACAGTCAGCTCTCCCTCTCCAAATGCTCTCACATGGCCACGCGAATATATAGCCTCTGTCAGGGAAGTCCTACTCACTGCCTTCTCGCATCACGGGTGTTGTTTACGGAATTGAGAGGACGAAAAGCGAATGTCCGGCGCTTTAACCGGGTTGGTGGACACGGAAACTTCACCTAGGGGAGTTGGAAAACCCTCATTCCAAACCAATGGTGCACATGGACTGGCTTCAGTATCCTGAGAGAACAGATGGTGTGTGAATCAATCGTTGGTCACCGGCTACCATGTGACTGCATCTCCTCACGATGCTCCACTGCCTTGTGGACTAGACATTCAGGTCAAAGGCTCGGAGTGTGGCCCCCTAAGAAAACCACCTGCTTCAGTCTGGGCACCTGGGCAGTATCACAGCACTCACACAAATCAAATGAGATTTGTGAGGCGCATATTTATCTGGTGCTTTTTTGTACCAATATTTATGTGTTTAAATAAAATAAATAATAAAAATCAACATGGTTGGACTCCAGTGGTTACAGCCTCTACTTAGAACTCTGCAAATTACCTCTAGAAACTATTCATTAATGAGCAGATAATTAGGATAAGCTTAAGGGGATTTTTGGAGGTCATTGAATGTCATGGTTTATATTATAGTTCCAAACTAGGATCAAACAGCTGTTCAATGCTTCCCGATTTTCAATGGTTACTGAATTAAGACCTTGAAGTAAAAGTAAAACCTTGAAGTAAACTGCAAAAGAATCTTTAATTTCGAAAATGTATTCATATCACTAACCTAATTATAAAGAAATCAAAATACATAGTTTAACCCAATTAGTAAATTATCACCGATTTGAAAAGAAATATTTGTAACTAATTAAAAATGTAACACTTTTTATTGTGCTTTTTTTCGTCAGTCATAAAAAGAAAGATTTCGTATGGATCTCACATAAAGACGTGTTCTTTTTTCTTTTCTAGTTACTGTTTCAATATGGAAAAAATGCCGACACAACTTGTTACATCACCTTCTCATTAAAACAAAATGTAAAGACTAGAAACTTGAAAAGAGTACTCCCAAATGCCCTTGTGCGGTTGAGGAAGGCAAGAGTCAGCTCTCCCTCTCCAAATGCCTTCCTATGATCACGTGTATACGGCAACTATGAAGAAAGCCCTACTCACTTCCTTCAAGCTGCGGGTGAGTTAAGAGAACGAAAAGCGAATGTCCGGCATGCAAACCGGGTTGGTGGACAAGGAGGGTCCACTTAGGGAAGTTGCAAAACCCTGGTTCCAAACCAATGGTCAGGTGGGCTCCATGATCCTGAGTGAACAAATGACGTATAAACCACGGGAATGTATTTCCTAACGTTGCTCCACTGCATTGTGAATTAGATCTGTAGGCCAAAGGCTCGTATAATGAACATATAAGAAAACCACCTTCGGTTCGGGTGTCCGGGTAGCATTACAGCCCTCACAAAGATCGGATAGTGGAGCATAAACATTTTGTGCTTCATTATACCAATGTTCATGTGCTTACAGAAATGAATAAATACTTTTAAAGAAAAGAAATACATATGATTTTATTATAGGCTTTTAGTATAGATTATTTTGGACTAGTTTTCATTGAAGAGTCGACTAAACATTCGAAAACACTGATCAGTATATTGTTATAGCCAAACATGATGAACATAAAATCAGGACACAAATGTACACTAAGCTCAGTTTAAAAAAAGAGTTCGAAATAATTCTACAAGCAATAAAATAAACAGTGAAAATATGGATGGTGTCTAGTAGTGGAATATAAGAAGTGGGTTTCGATCCGGTACGAACATCATATCTAGAGTTTAGGTACATTCGACTGACGAGTTCAAACTAGGATGAAACACGCATTCTGAACTCCACTGCCAGCCACCACTCTTCTCCGCTTGGAATCGTTGTAAATTGATGGAAATATCAAGGCGATTCGTATAGGATGCATATATGTCAAAAGGTTAGTCAACTGCAATTTTAAATAAAGATACTGAGTAAGATCCAGACACCCACAATTTATTAAATGAAAATATGGTTTGAAAAAAAAAAGGAAAATTGGAACTAAAGATGTACAGTAAAGTCAGGGAGTCAATACATTTGGCCTACTGTAGTCAACTGTGATCCATGTCATCCAATATCTCTGACTATTGATAGCAATTATCGTGCGGATTCCAACCACATAGTTTATATTTATAAACATGACTTAAACAAACACTTAACGAACACATTGATTCGACAGAATCATGGTTAATGCACAATATGGTGGAATTGAGTTCTATTTCATGTGTGATCGGTAGGTGAACAGTGGCACATACATATCTCGAACGGTGATAAACCAGTTGTTCAGAACTATTTTCTCCAGTTGTACATAATACAACACTTCATACACACACACACACAGATACATACAAAAACTAAATGAATGAAGAACAAAATGGTATAATAATTGTATTTTAAAGAAAGGAATCTACAATATAAATTAACACTAAGCAAAATTAAATAGAAATTAATAAACAGTAATGAATGCTAATTTGTTGACTACAGAAAACGTTAAATTAAACAGGGTCAAAAATACTATGTAAGAGAGAGTGAGAGAGAGAGAGGTAGGCAAGAATGGGAAAAGAATAAAATGAAGATGTACTCAATCTAAGGAAGAAAAAGGAGAAGAAAACTATCAAATGTAGACAATGATGAACACATACATACATACATACATACATACACATAAATACAGAGACAAACAAACACAGACAATACCTGATCATATTCAGATCCAATTAGACAGTTATTATTACTGTTACCATTATTACTCTCTATGTATGTCAAGCAGGTACAATTAAGAAAACTGAATCATTTCTGATAGACCAATTCTCTCTCTCACTGCAACATGTACAATTTTGTAATTAAGTAAGAAAATTACAAGACAATACAATCTTCTTAATAAAAACAAAAAAAATTGTATACACTAAGTTTTGAACACTTACGACCATTAGGTTGTTTAATTTTTTATATTAAAAAAAATGTATTTTCTTACAGAAGGGATTATAATTAATCTTAACACTAAAGTGTATTACCATTGATTAAAATGTCAAATATCAAGATCCAGGATTACATGTCCATTAACCAATAATCACCATCTAAAATAACTCGACATAGTGCAAGTGATGTCATGATTATGAATACAGTGATCTTGAGTGCTGTTAGAGATATGAGGGCAGTTATCACTTTCCCGGTTGCCCACACCGTAGAAGGGTTCTTCTAGAAGTAACTGAAAAGGAAGTTGGATTAGAGATGTTCTCAGTGACCTGAGAGCGTGATCACAGTGCCCAAGGGAAAATTGCTTGAGGTCGGTCACACACGACCTCTTCGTGTGTAATTTTTGTGTTAGCTCCGTATTTGTTGAGGCCTTACCGTCAGAGACGGGTATCCGTGGGATAAGGCGAGGTGTGCATTTTTAGGGTCTACCTATTCTAACCCCACCCCTCCTTGTGGGAAGGCAGCATCGCTGTTATGCTGGTTGTCTGAAAGAAACACCTTACTGCTTTCACACCTCTGTATAGTCAGCAGTACGACTTCGCCTTCGGACCTTGGGTTTGCTGCTTTTAGTCTTACCGCTGAATAGCCGACCTGCTGGGCACGGTAGGACCTAGAGGAACGATTGTTCCAGCTAGTATAGTTCGATTGCTTCATCACGATAGGCAACCCCGACCATCACGTCAAGGTGGTAGCAACGGTCGAATCATTTAGATTAATAGTGGTCATATTGCAACTTGGTCGATAGGATTCGAACAGTACTATGAAGGATTTGACAAACATAACATTGGTTACTACTTAACGACTAGTCAATCAGAAATACATCTAAGTGTTATAGAATGTCAGTTGCTGTCGAAATAACTTAGTAGTGACATTACTAACTGTAAAGCTGGTTGATACGTGATCGAATCTGATAGGGAACATCAGTCCATACAGGTACAATTTTCAGGATTTCCTGTCGGTTACCTTTAACCATCACTTTACATCTCAATGTTATAAGAGTAAAATAGACAAAGACAAGCCAGTCAGAATTAATATTAGTTACTTTCAAATTTCTATGCCAAATTCACAAATTAACGAATTCTATTTTGTGTCACGCTGTCCAAAAATTTTCATTATTCGATAAACACCCGATATCCCGCACTTTAGCGGAGTTTCCCGTTTATTTAATGGATAAGTGCTGCACTCAAAAAGTTTAATATTCAATAAAGATCTAAATTCAAGCTCCAACTTTTACAATATTTATGTTTATCATCCAACATGTTGAGATGTGCACCACTGACATATTCATAGCAGTAATTTTGGATAATTTAAGATTTTTAAAAAAACTAAATCTTCATTTAATAAACGGAAAAATCTCCAAAAGTACTCCTATTAGGTAATAAAACACGGCTAGATGTCCTTACACTTCATCATATTTCGTATAAAATGAGCGATAGAAGTAACATTGAGAAATGTTGGAAAGAGCTGAAATCTTCCGGAAAGATTCTTCTTTTTATCATCAAAGAGATCACTTCATTAGCGATTCACTAAATAATCTATTGAGAGTGTAAGGGCTCAGCGCAAAACCTGATAAACCTGTGTTTGAATCCAGGAGAAGTTATCAGTGTCCACTGCTAAGGTATATACCATACTAGAACATCAAAGCGATTCAGTGTTTTATAAAGTTCAATAATTGTCAAACTAATCATCAGTCCATGATATAAAAATAAAATATAACAACCTCCATATTTCCTCTGTAGTAGTTATTAAACAGTTTAATTACCGTATGACCACAAGTAGGTGTATGTGGTCAGTGTGTTATTGTTGTTATTGACAAATGTGTTAATCAGTCAATTAAAACTTGTAAATGAGGGTAATATTTAATTGCACAGTAGTACAATGTCAATTTGATTAATATCAACCAATATAATGTTATGCATGTCAAAGTGATCACTATGAAA